CTACTCTGCTCTGGTGAGACCCCACCTGGAGTACTGCGTTCAGCTCTGGAGTCCTTAGTACAAGAAAGATATGGACCTGTTGGAGTGGGTCCAGAGGAGGGCCACAAAAATCATCAGAGAGATGGAACACCTCTCTTATGGGGAAAGGCTGAGAGGGTTGGACTTATTCAGCCTGGAGAAGAGAAGGCTCCAGGGAGACCTTATTGCAGCCTTCCAGTACTATGAGAAATACGGGGACAAACTTTTTAGCAGGGCCTGTTGTTATAGGACAAGGGGTAATATTTTTAAACTAAGAGAGAGTAGATTTTGATAAGGAAGAAATTTTTTACAATGAGAGTGGTAAAACACTGGAACAGGTTGGCCAGAGAGGTGGTAGATGTCCCATGCCTGGAAACATGCAAGGTCAGACTGGATGGAGCTCTGAGAAACCTGATCTAGTTGAAGATGTCCCTGCTTATTGCAGGGGAAGTTGGACTAGATGACCTTTAAAAGTCCCTTCCCACCCAAACCGTTCTATGATTTACTAGCTACTTTACTAAGTGAGTAATGTGGTGAGATGGGATGTACTTAGAATTCACTGGTGAAAGAATCATCAGAAATCTTGAGTCTTGTTCCAGGACTCAGCTTGTGCTTTGAGCTCTAGAATCATAGAATCATAGAATGGTTAGGGTTGGAAGGGACCTTCTAGGTCCTTCTAGGCTGCTCTGGTTCAATCCCTCACGTGTCAGTCCATAAGCAGTTGTCACTCATCAATTGCAGTAAAAAATGACATCAATCACACTCCTAGCAATGACATGAGAGGCCAGACAAGCAATGTCATTTTGATAGAGTTACAATTATTATACGTATCATCTTTTATATATTCTACCACTTCATCAGTTATTGCAGCCATACCCAGAGAATAAACAGAGATTTTCACTGAGCTGTCTGCAATAATGTATTACCTTTTCTGAGTGATGACAGCTAATTTAAAGTCCAACCTTAACTACTTCAGATTATTCCTTCTGGTATGAATTACTCTGGTTTTGCTAGCATTGCATGTTTCCCAGACCTGGTGTTCATACTGCTCTGAAGACTTTGGGATAACACCCCCTTACTGTCTTCAAATTATGCTTTAAATTATGTGATTCATATTTGTCGCATTAGGTTCATTCTTCTTTTATCTAGTTCAAGCCCTCAAGTTATGAGAAATGAGAAAAGGTGGTTATACGTACTTTGTTGCAGAGGTTTCTGATCCTGTTTTAAGTGAAGCATGGGTTTGCTCGTCGATGTGCTGTGGGACAGGTAGCAATACTGCGGTGCCCTCCATGGTTCGGGCAGGGAGCATGAGGAGGTCCTTGGCTCTGCTGGGAGAGCATTCCTCACGTTGACCCAGCCCAGAAGGCTCTGCCTGCTGCGCAGAGGAGACTTACCATTCAAAGCAGTCCCTCATATCCAAAGGGAATGGAGTAATCCTTAATACTTTGTCTCAGAGTGTTAAGGACTGTTTTAGCTCTACCTTGAAATTACACACTAAGACTTTGACTCGGTGATTGTGGAGAGCTTGTGTAGTCACTTGGAGAGAAATTAAACTGTTGGTAGTGTACTGTGTTCCTAAGGACATGCTTTGCTATTCAGGTTTGAGGAAATCTTAGTTGAGAATTAATCTTTAAATTGATCTTCATAATAATACTATCTTCGCATCTGGATGCCTGGGCACAAAGAACTCATGCAGTCCTGAATTGAGTGTAGGATATTGAGAAGGTTTCTTACAATCCACTTGAACCATAAGAGATCTCTCAGAGATGAATGTTGCTTCTTCTGTGCTATGTGTGTGTTGATATTTTATTAAACACTGAGACAACAATCTGTCAAACTATGCTTTCAAACTGTGCAAAGAAGAAGTAACCATATGGTTAGGAATTTGTTTGGTGCATTAGACTCCATCACATCAATATAACCAAGAAAACAAAAAATAACAAGTCCATCGTTGCAACTAAACTGAAAATATAAAACAGTTGCTGCCCTAAGCTTCTAAAATTTCTGGATTCTGCTGGAACTGATTGTTCGTCTATGAGATGCAGCCTCTGCAATAGTCTGAAGAGAGAGGAGAAAAGGGCACTGGTGAAAGCCTCCTTGGCATGTACCCAAGTGGGGTTATAGTTTGCATTCAGACCTAACACACCCAGGTCTGAATATAATTTATGGGATCTAATCAGGCCAACTGTAAAAACATATCAGGGAATATTTTTAGTTAATTCCTGCATCAAGTCTCTAGCCTCAAATTCAGCTATCACCTCTCCTTTAGAAAGATGATGTGATCTGCTTTAAGTATTTAAAGTGATGAAGAGTCTGCCATGTCTTCTCTTCTGTGCTTTGGTTATTAAAAAGGGGGAACAAAGAAGACTATCAGCACTTAGAGTTCATATAGAAAAGTTTGAGTGTGTCCCATTTTAATTCAGAGGTAATTATGCAAAATCCATTTGAGTTATGCTGGTGCGAGCATCAACAAAAGGATCACTACACCTTTCCCTCCTGATCTTTTTGTATCTAAGTTACAAAAAGAGGTCTCTCTGTGCTGTTCTACAGCCACTAGATATTACTTACTATACAGAGTGAGTTAAAGAGATGTATTTGGTTGTAGTGTTAAATTTAGGGAAATTGATTTTATTCTGTGATGCATCCAGGTTATCCGAGAATGTGTTCTGAGAGTTTATTTTAGCAAAGGAGTAATTGAATTCCTCTAGAGAGTGTTAGCCTGGGAATTGTATCAGCTGTGCTAAATCAATTGAATTATTGAGGCTATGCTTTGCATTAGCAATGCTTGTGCAGTACAAATCTTCCAAGGGAAATTATATTTCTTTTCAACTTGATATTCCAAATTTATGTTTATCTCATGATAGTTAAATGACCTTCTGTGCTTAAACATCTGCATTCAGTCAAGCAATTTTAAGCCTGAGGTTTAAACCTGGTGCCGATACTCCATGGTCTCATACTTTAAGGTGTCAACATAGGTAGTAGTGACCATCTTCCATGTCTAAAGTTGCAGAAATCACCCAGCAGTCTGCACAAATGATACTTGAAAAAGAAGAGTGGACTGGAACAAAACTATTTTCAAAATGGCAACTCCAATGTGATACATTGCTGCTCTTTATTGCTGATTGAAGATACAGCAAAAGGTTTTCAGAGGTGAACAAAGTTAACACTGATGAAGAAAAAGCAGTGATTCTTTAACTTAAATTTATCACACTCCTGTATTTGATACTGTGAATGGCAAAATAGCCCCCAGACACAGATTGTGTTCTTTAATATAAATACCTCTGAAGGCTTCGACATTCAGTCAGTGAAAGAGTAAGACAAGTCATCCCTGTAGTAACAGTATTAAATTTCTAGATTAATAGAAGGGAGATTTACAGTGCGCTGCTGTGAGAGCATATATACATGCTGAAAACAGTGGGGCAGAACATGATAGTAATTTCTTAAAGGTGCATGCAATGCCCTTTCAACCTTTTCCAGATACATAGGTTATAAGACATTCTACATGGATGAAAATTTGCATATTTTTAACTCCAGGAGAAATTCTACTGAAGTCAGACTTAGCTTAACTGTAAGTTAAACTTAGTTTAACTTAGCTCTAAGATTTAGACTTACTTTGTCTCCCAGCTTTTGTTCATGATGGAAGTGACATTGACCTTAAGCTACGTAAACCATGGGCCATTCTGTCTATGACAGAAGAATGTGGCGTCAAAGAGGAGGAAGGAGATGCCAAGAATTAGCTTTCGGTTCTGCAGGGGTTTTGAAGAGTGAAGAGTGCTGTGAGCATACACAAGAGCTTCGGGCTGTTGAACTCTGTTTTGTGAGTGTCATCTGAAAGGTAGTAGGGTAGCGGTGCAGTTTGGAGGGGCTGGCCCGTGTCGTTCACTCAGAAGAGCACAACTCCCTGCATGCTATTTTTGTCACTGGCTCAAGCCAACATTTCCTTGTGGTGCTGCTGTCCTTGCTTGTGGGAACCAGAGCTGCGGGAACGAATTTGCCCACTGCTGGCCATAGAATGGAATTTTGGCCAAGCTACCAAAATGGAGTCCTGCATAACTCCCATGATCCAAGAATCTTGGCTTTCTTTTCTGATAGTCATTTGAGGTTAACCTCAGCCTTGTCTGTGTTACACATTTATGTTCTGACATAGACAAGCCCTTGCTCCTTTTAGCAGGTAGGTGTCTCCACTTGAAAAGCATACTGAGGTCAATGGTGGAACAGTTTAAATTAATGGGGTTATAAGGTAATAGGAAATTTAAATTTGTGAAGATTGAGTTACTAAGATGTTCTGAGCAAATTTAGGGCCCACTCCTATTCTTATTGTAATCAATTAAAATGGTGGTATTAAATCATGAGGATTAATCTCAAAATATTGGCAAAGCTCCTGCCTTGTCTACTTGAGAGATTTAGTGCACAGTACCCAAAAGTGGCAGCTCTGAACTTACAGTCCTATAGACACACTACTCATATTCCTCATGGAAACGCTTTAGTACCCATTTCTTGAAAGCCACTCTCAAAGCAGATACAAACATTCTTGGAACAAGATGGTTCTTTCTCTGTGTTAAGAGTATATGTTCAGTGGGATCATGAAGAACATACAGTGAATTTCCAGGGCATGCTCCAGGTTATGACCTCCCAGATTCCTTCTGCAGGTGAGTCCTAAGCTACCTTGCACTTGGTACATGGTATGGTTGTCTTCTGGGAAAATATGTTCTCTATCTAGAATTATTTCCATTGTGTGAATTCAGAGACTTAACTATTGCTTGTTAACATTTTTGTGTAGGCAAGACCATAATTACATTTTAAATAATGAATTGTGTATAATCAAAAATAAGCATCACGGTTATAGGAGATTGTTGATCTAATTGGCATTAACTAGTTTATTCCCATTAGTCATATTCTAGAAGACGAAAGAAAAACTCCTCACAGTGAAGCTGCTAAATTGATCCATATACTTAATCATCTGTACCTTTTTTCCCAAACAGGCAGGAGAAAAACATTATCACCCAACGTGCGCACGATGTGTCAGGTGCAGTCAGATGTTTGCAGAAGGAGAAGAAATGTATCTTCAAGGTAAAAATCAATCAAACAAATGAAAAAAAACAAACCCAAACCAGTTATGCTTGACAGCGTGGCCCTCTTGCCTGTACCTGCTACCATGGCTGAGCTGTTTTGCACATATTCTCACTTCATAACTAGCAAAGCAAGTGAAGAATGCAACGTGTAGACTAAGGAGAAGCAAAACCAAACCCTTGTTGCTTCTTACTCACTATTACTTCTCTCTTGGTTCAAATCCAATAGCAAGTGTGAATCACAGAAAGGATGAGCAGTAGCAGTTATTTTCTGCAGGAGGAAATACTTGATGTGAAGATTATAAAACTGTCCGTTTCCTGAAAAAAAAAGTGATTTTTCTGCAATGATAAATGGTCCAGATGAAAGTTAACACACATATGGGACAACAGGTTCCCTAAAGCTGCTATTGCAGTCCTAAGCGCAGTTCTGTACTCATTGCCCGTTTGGGTATAAGGAGAACATCTGAAGGTCCTTACCTGAATTCCCCACAGTTGAACCGAACTGCCCTCAGGGTGGAGAAGAGGATGCCAGGGAGCTGAAGCCGTGACTAGACAAGATGCCTCTACTTTATGCAGCTGTAAGCTTGCATCACTTAGGAGAAAGCTATGCAGAGAGAAATTCAGTCTTGTCAGGGAATTTCAGGGGTAATAGAGAACAACTTGCATAATAACTTATTCGATGGGAAAAAATAAGTCATTTAATGTAGATGTGAGCTAAAATCTGTATTTCGTATGTAGCAACTTTTAGCTGAACTAAACTGATCAAAGAAAACAATGTCTACACAGTTAAATACAGAGTCAGACACCAGAGAAAATGAAGGCTTTTGCCTATGTCTTTGACTGGCAGTATCTTTTCAAAGGAGAACAGAAAAGAGAAATTCAGTAGGAGTGGGAACTTGCAAGGCTGGTGTTTTATCCTAAAATCACATGTTTGGCCAGATCCGTGTTACAACTTTGCGATTGTCCACAGTTTTCTAGAAGTGTACTTTGAAATCATTCATTAAGCTGGAAAAGTTAGACTTTATTTAAAACACAACAGTGGTCTCAGTAATATCTAATTATAATTTAGTACGTTATTTAAAATGGCAATTTTATTGTCACCTCGGTTTGCAACAAGAGCTAGCTCATTAAAGGACATAATGATCCTTGTCTGTGCTCATGGATTCTCCCTCAGGAGCCAAAAAATGCTGCGGTTCTTCCAATTGCAAAGTAGCTTAGCAGTGCTAAACTCCTCTGGGAAATCAATGCTTTAAAAAAAGATGTCAAACTGCAAATTCATTTCTAGATTTCAAACCATCTGAAACTGGGTTGTAAGTGAATCTTCTTTTTAAGTTCAGTTTGTTATAAGAGTGGATATTTGTTACGTTTTGTGCTGATTTTTGTTCAAAAAATATACTCAGGTCCTGCTAATTTGGACGCACCTTACTCACTTTATTTTCTGATGCATGAAACATTTGTACCAGCTTACAAACCTACACTTTTTGTCTTTACATGAAGAGCAGTTTCTATTAGAAACTGGTATTAACTTCATGAAAGATCTGTGATTAGGTATTTAGACTGCCTGACCTGATGTGTTACATAATAAAAAATGTCAGACCCCAGGGTTCTAGAACTTATTCTTCATCCTCCTAATAAACTACTGTAAAGTTCCTTTTGGTGTTGCATGTTCCTTAGCAGAAATTGAGTTGTCAGTGGTCACCCAGCAGATGATTTTTGGGTGAAAGGACTTTTTTTTTCTTCTGTGTGAAAAAGTTTCCCAGCCAGTTTTGCTTGACTACAGATAAGAGTAATTCAAAAAAAGTTGATGTAAATACTTTTTAAAACCGTCAGGAAGATTTACATCAACTTATGCAGCACTTGGGACAAACGCTTTCAGTGGGCAAGCTCAGACCCGCTCATAATTGGAAGATAAATTAGTATTGAATTTAAAGGTACTATAAAGGTGTTTCTTAGTTCTTCAGTCCCAAAAAACTTCAATAACTTAGTAAACATAATTTATCTGGTCTGTACTTATAGTCTTTTACTGCTTGAGTCTGTGTTCATCTGGGTTATTTTTGTGAAACAAATTCTAATGACCTCCATCTGTCTTCTGGGAAATAGACTTTCTGTTTCTATCTTGTTTCCAAAATCCACTGGTTAGAAAACTATCAAACTGCTGTGAAAACAAAGTATTTCCAATAAATCTTCTTGGTGCTCTCCACCCAGTATAAACATTAAATATTTATGACACAAAGTTCTCAACTTCGCATTTAGTCAGGCAGAAGTTGCAGTGCACTCACATTATTTAACCGTGTGGAGTTTTAGCTTGTGGCTTGTCCGAGCTCAGACTGACATAAACATAAAAGTTCCTTTTTACTATTAAAATTTACAAATAATTCTTTTATTTTATATAGTTACATGCATTCCATTTCCATTGAACACTGAATATTGAACATTGTGTTCAACTTTTTAAAAGTTTTTACTTTCCTTTGACTAGTGCAAAATTATTAAGTTTCTTTCTCACACTTATGGTTACTTACGTTTCTAGAGTTCATAATCCTCTCTTCAATACATATGTGCAGTATATTAGTTCATTCCGTATTGCCTGCTTCCTCCAGGATGGATATTCCCCTTAATTGATGCAGTTCTTTATTATTTGACTTATGAGAGACAAACATATAGGAAGTGGAAGATCAGTACAGTGAGTAATTCAGAAAGAAAGACTGGATTTTCAGCTAGTGTTAAATGCTGCAATGCTATTCCATCCCATCACAGTGTGCTACTTACTATGACCTCGGCCAGACTATATACAATAAAAGTACAGGAAATTCTGACTACCTGTAAGGAAAAAAAATAAGCAGGTGGAACAGGTTGCCCAGAGATGCTCTGGGATCTCCATCCTTGGAGATACGCAGAACCCAACTGGGCACAGCCCTGAGCTGCCTGCTGTACTGGGACCTGCTCTGAGCAGGAAATTGGGCTGGAGTTGCTCCAGAGATCCCATATCACACTCCTTAGGACTCAGGTTTTGATGTTGATCTCGCGTATAGAAGTCCATGTAGCTTTCTGAAGTTCACCTAGTCTTTAGTGTGTATGTCATCAGGCTCATTGATACTGAGAAGTTGTCAGTTTTAGCTTTGAAGGTATCCATGACATAGTGACTGCAGTGGAACCAGTGTGCTGTGTCTTATAAAACCTTATAGAAAGGTTTAATAAGGTTCTTATTGGGGAACTAAATTAAGCAGAACTTTATATTTACTTTCCAGGTACATCCATTTGGCATCCAGTTTGTAGACAGGCTGCAAAGGCTGAAGAAAAAAACAAGGTAAAAATACCTTATTTTTACCCAGTGTTATTCCATTGTCATATTATTCTCTATCTTTTTTTTTTGCATCCGGCATGGATAGAAGGATTTGGAAATTTTTCACTACTGTAATTTTAAATGACAGAAATCTAGTAGGTTCATGTAATGTAATAATGTACTATAAATATTCTGCTTTTACCTAGTGATTAAAGCTGCAGCTTCAGGAGGATGCTGACCTAAGAGTTACATGTATATGCTGAATAAGGAAAAATGTGAAAATATGAGTAAGAAAAAAAAAAGTTAATTTTTAACTTCTGTCTGGCTATGATGTGACCAGTGCACAACCTCTTCTTTTTTTATGTGGCTCCGCACTTAAAAGATCAGAGGGCTTTCACTTTATTTGTTTTTTCAAAAAAAATCTCTCCTTGGAATTTCTTTTATATTATTTGTTCGTAAAATGTTGGCAAGCCAGCCCCAACTTAATTTAATCTCTGGCTTTAAGTACCTCCTTAAATTTGATGATTTATGCATCTGTCTGTGTGCAAGGGGAAAAGGGGGGAGTTCTGGCAACTGTAATAATTACAAGGTTAGCAGATGAATAAGCTGCCCCTAGGAAATGAAGAATTAATCTGTAGCTGGGGAAATGATCTCTCTGAAGTGGTGGGACTGAGGTGCAGCTATCTCATTTAATGTGGAGGCCAAGTATGGGGTTTTTCATGTCTGCTGTTCTCTGATTCTCCAAGTGGCATCCTTGTATCCTTGAACCCTGGTATCCTTGTTTGTAAAAGCTCTGCTTTGATTTATCAAGGCTTGGATGAGAGGCACACGGGACAAGTCAGAAGAGCAGGCAGCAGCTATAAAAAGAGTTTTACAAATCTGGTGTGTTAGCAAGTGGAACACTGACTAAATTGCAGTTTTTAAAAAAATTTGATTTGGGCTTTACCCTGAAGGATCTTGCTTGTGGTTTTTGTGCCGAAGTGTTTGGGAAGCAATTGCTCTGGTATTCTTCATGGCGAGTTCTGAGTATCAAATAAGTAGTGTTTCAGTATAATATGTATTGTTTAATACATGTGTATTTAAAATTGTCAAAATACATTACTTTAGTAAGTGCTACTGATTCAGCCAAATACTATTAAGCACTATTTCAGGCTTCCTAAGGATTTTATTCTGGCTGAGTAACTGAAATTGCAAGGCTAAAACCCCATGTAATTTATTGGAAATGTAGTAGGGGTTTGGGTATTTTTTCCCCCCTCCTTCAAAGAAGGAGGTTGTACTGGGCTCCTACTAGCTACCTTTTCCTCACAAAGGAAAAGAATGTGTACCTGTAAGGTATTGTGTAAAGGCTGACTCATTTATAACACATCTTTCTTGAGCACTGAGAGTCTGCCCCTTCCCCAGCAGAGAGGAAGACATCTGTATCTGAGAATCAGTGGGAGTTTTCCTGAGTAGGGGAAAAAAAACAGAATGGAGCTCAAAGAATTTTCTAAGTCTAGTAATTTTTCCTTTTCTTTGGGTTTTTTCTCTACTTTTAGTCTTTAGGCTTATTATTGAAAAAATAAACCAAGAAGAAACGATGCCGTTTCAAAGAGGGTAGTAATGGACTTTTCAACGTGACTTGCGAAGTTGGGAATGGGATATACTGGTTGAGAAATTTTGTGGTCAACCTTTGCACTTTGTTGGTTTTAAAAGTTATTTTTTCTACATATTTACATAGATATATGCACAGCATGTAATTAGTAGGTGACAAAGGCAGAAGGACTAAGTGGCAGCACACTCCAAAACTTTGGAGATGGAGTAGAAGTGGGAAAAAAGTTTTGAAAGAGAGTGACAGCAAAAAGAAAAGTGATGGAAGAGTGACATTGTAAGTAGAAGGGATGAAGCTAGAAAAGACAGAAGAAATCAAAGTAGCAAGAGAAAGAATAAAGATTATCAAAAGACATAAAGGAAAAAGAGGTAGGTAGAGGGAGAATAAAAATGCACAGTATGGAGAAAAGACCTTAACAGAAGCAATGGAATCAACTGAGATATGAGTTTTTATTGCAAAAGCTAGGAGATTATGTGCGGCACACATGGATTGGGGGTGCTAAAAGGGTTGATGGATTGTGCAGAGAATAAAGAGCGCGTGTGAGAAGTGGTGTGAGCAGGTTTTAATCACCAGGAGGAGAAATGGGACAATTTAGGGGAGTAACTGAATAGCATAAAGAAGCATAGATGCAATCTGCAGAAGTACCTTAGAAAGTTGTCATTCTACACTTTGATTGCAAAAGTTAGAAATGTTAATTAGTTGTCATTCTTCTTAGAAACAAGATGGCACCTCTAAGTTGAGCAAAGCCCCTGAAAAAACTCCAGGAGTTTATTGAGTTATTAAATATCTTCAGCCAAGTATGTTATGTGTTTTAAGGTCGTACTACACTGCGTGATCTTGAAACACACTCCACTGATGCACAGGACATGCACATGAAGCTCTGAAGCTTAATCTAGGGAGTCCTGAGATTAATCCAAAACTGTCATTTGACTTTAACAGGGTTTAAAACATTGAAATAGTGCAGTTTTAGTCAGGTTTTTTTTTCTCTATGACATTGGATCTCCTGTAGGGACGTCATGAAAGAGAAGTATGATTTGCATGTGACATCAATGTGTTGATGACACTTTCATGTCATTTACACAAGTTCTAGAAGATTGCACTATGCTTTAACTATGCAAAAGATCAATGCAATTACACTGTCTGTGTTGAATGATCATCTCAACGGCAGCCACAAGTGTTTCTCAGAGAATACTCTTATTTCCATGCCAGTGTTTGCCTTGTCCCCTTGGACCTTCTGAGCTTGTCCAGACCCTCAGTGTGAGACAACTGAAAATGAGAGGGAAAAAATTCCCAATCCCAGTCAGATATGGCAAAACAATTACATGGAATCTTTTTTATACAGATAAGTATCTCCACATTCTCAGAGAAGTCCATAGGACTATTTGGGCTAAAGAAAGTCTATGGAAGGATGGTTGTGACCGTTGAGTTTGTTTGCTCTGCTAACACAGTGCAGTACAGATATATTCACGTATTGCTTCTAAAAGCCAGTAAATATTTCCAGCAAAGACTGGAGTAGTAGGAAGGTCCTTCCTTGACCTGGCGGCTTAATAACGCTAAAATTCTTTTAAGGGTCTGAACAGTCGTAACCTTCAGTTGAGAAGTGCCAGCCTTCGTTGAGACAGTAAATGGTGGTCATTCAGAGCCCATGGGAAAATATGTACTTTTTGAAATCAGAGACAGATTTTTCCATAGATAGGAAAGAGTATTTTATGATGAATTAACATATCTGGGTAAAAGAGGGGATAAACCCATTGATTTCATAGTAAGATTTATTTAGGTCTCATCACTCATTATTTAATAGTAGTTATATTTTTCATCAGAAAGGAATCTACCAAAAAGAAAGCAGTAAAGTTCTCTCACTCTGAATGCCGGAATGATTAAAAGGAGAGCAAAACCAGTTGAGTATTAAAATGAATCTGGTAGTGTTACAATCAGAGAGGGGAAAGCTAACCTACTGAGTGGCTGATTCAAGATGCTCTGCAGGATGTCGTGCTGTTGGCTATGAGTGAATGATGTGGTAGCGTGATACGTTCCAGAAGCAATGTAGATTGGTTTGATGGTATAACCTTAGAGTAAAAATACTGCCACCATATCATCTTGTGACCCCAGACTCAGAGCTGCTGTAACTGGAGCTATCCCTGGTAGTGCCCAAAGACTGTCCTGGCAGCCTAGTTGTGCTCCAGGCCATTTCATTCTGAAGGAAGGGAAAAAGAAATTCTTACATAAAATGATTTTCTGCATTTCCAAAGGTTCATTTGATTGACTAAAGGTATTCTTTTGTTTTCAACTCTTTGGTATGTCTGTATGTTTTGAGCTTGCTGTAATGTGCCATTTTTGAGGGGAAAACGTTGAATTAAAGGAAATGTCTTGCACACTCTTTTTGAAGTAACAGTTATATTTTCTCTCTTTCCTCTATTTCTTACCTGTTTACTTCACTTGTCCTGCCATAGGAAACAAGGACTTCATCTGAGAGTATTATTTCTGTACCTGCTTCAAGTACATCAGGTTCCCCAAGCCGTGTGATCTATGTGAGTATTTCATGGTGAAAACGGTTCTGGGGGATAGGGAAAACCCTGTGCTTCCTCCTGCCGTTTAGCACGTTGTATGGAAAGTGAGTGTCTCCAAACCACTGCAGTTGGTGATTCCTCTGAAACAGAATTTACTTTCTCACATTTAAAATGTTTCAATGCTGCATTTACCATAACAGAATTCTGGCAGTTTCCTGTTATTTTTTGTGGTGTATTTATAGCACTTACATTACCGCTAAAGCTGGCTTGTACCAAAGCTTGCAAAATACCACAGTGCTTTCTAAAAACAAAAGTTTAAGTAAACAGTACAGCCCGCAAGTAGATTACAAGACTGGATTTGAACACAACTTGTCTAAATCGAGCCCTTCAGCCTGCATCTGATTGCTTAAGAAAACACTTGTGTGTATGATTGCAGGACTCAGACCTTGACAAATGGCAGTCCCTAACCTCAGAGGACCTTTGATGTGTTTATGATCTAAGAAGCGCTAGCTCTGGAAAGCTCATAGAGAGAATTTAAAATGACAAGTATGATAAAAGCCTATGCTGAGTATATTTTTTTCAATACCAGGTGTACCTTGCTTGTCATAATTGCTGTATCCAATGTTCATGGCCAAATTCCCAAGGCTACCGCCAATAGGTGAAAAATACCCACAAGTGTGGTGTGTTCCCTGCAAACATCTCTTGGACACCTTCAGTATTCCCAGGGCTATTCTTTGTCCTGTCCAAGTATCCCTCAGGTAGGCAGGTCATTCGTGTCGGACAGGACCGTATGCAGAGGAGATTGCTGGAGATGCGATTGACTGCTGGAGAGGTTATTATACAAAGATTAGGAGCTTTTCTCTGATTAGGAGCTTCTGAGACAAGCAATAGTGCCTTGAAGGCAAACTTGTCCTTTTTCTTCAAGTAAATATTATTTTGAATGCAGTATACCCTTTGTCTGACTAAGATTGAACTATAACTGGAGGAACTGCCTATTATCTAAGTGCTCATTGGTGTTTCTGAGTTCTCCTACTAGCAGAGCTCCAACTGGAGGAACTGCCTATTATCTAAGTACTCATCGGTGTTTCTGAGTTCTCCTACTAGCAGAGCTCCATGCTGGTGGATACTAGTGTTGTATTCCTAGTAGAGACACTTATCATGTAATCTCTTTCTTTGGCCACATGGTCTCTATCTCTCCAGCCATGCATCACTTCGTTGTTTTTATAAGCATGAGCATTCTTGTGAGATTTATATGTTTTTAGTGACATTTATTTGACTGTTGGATGGTATTGTTTTTCTTGATGTTTGTGATTATAGCTTTAAGTATGCTTCACAGGCTGTCAAAAGTGAAAGACAATCCTCTGTTCTCTTTTTCTGTTGGTTTTGTTTTTTTTTTTTTCAAAGGATATAATTAACTCAGCACACAACTCTAATGTTTATTACTGTAGTAATCCAGGTTGGATGAGATGTTGAGCAGCCTGGTGTAGTGGAAGATGTCCCTGCCCATGGCAGGGGGATTGGAACTAGATGATCTTTGAGGTCCCTTCCAACCCTAACCATTCTATGATTCTATGAATATACTTTAGAGGCAGCTGGCACTGTGAAAAAATAAAGTTCTCTAGCAAATGTGAGTCAGTTAGGAAAAGAGATTCCCCAGAGGCATGCAAGTTCTTGCTCTATCTGTCTCATCTCTGACTGCTTAATTGTCCAAGCTGTGAGATTGATAAAATCCTATTTTGGCTTTCACAAACAGGAAAATAAAAAGAATTAAAAACATGTTACTGGACCTCTATATATTATCAAAATGATTCTTTGGCTATCTTTTGCATCTGTTTTCTATTACAGGAGTGTTACAACACACAGATTTGTCTTGGGTATTTTTTATGGTTGGTTTTACCAAACCTAAATTCATGCTGCCACTGAAAGGAAGGTCCCGCTCACATGTGGCCCTGTCCCTCTCCAGTTGTGTCTTCCTGTCTCCTCTTTGGTGCTAGCACTAGTGGGTACACATAGGTATGATCAGTCAGATTTGAGACCAAATTCAGCTAAAAAATAACCCAGGAAAAACCTGCAGCCAACCAAAGAGGCAAAAAAAGACCCAGCTATCTACATATCTCTAAAGCTAATGTAGAAGGCAGGACAGAGTGGGAAGGTGCACACAGGACAGCCACTTTTAGCAGCGGCATTAATTTGGGTCATTAACCTTAACAACTGATGAGCTCTATGAAGTATCGTGTTGTACAGAAGTGAATTTAGAGAAAACAATTAGAGCTTAGGAACTGTAAATTCATGGTGCTCATATTTTCAAAGGCATCAAGTCAGAGCAACGCAATTATTCTGAACAACATGCCATCTCTTGGGAGGCATGTTCCTGGGTCACGGTTGAGTGCTCAGCTCGGGAAAGATGAAGAAAGCATGTTTTGGGTAAACCTGAATGTGGTTCATGCAGACAGTTGACTAAAGCCACAGAACTTTTTCTTCATCTGTTGATACCAGACTTTGGTGTCTTCTTGCACTGAGAGATGGCATAGGCAAATGCCTGTAGAAATTAGTGGGCATCTTTTAATGATCTTCAGTGATGACTTCATTATATCCAGACTGAAATTTGCTCCAGTACTGACATCTCCTCAGAGTCCCTAAATACCACTTGAAAATCAGTTATTTTCTAAATTGTGCCCTTAAATAGGACTTAAAGAAAAGTCCTCCTTTATACTTAGCTAAATATTATGAAGAGAGAATTAGGTGCTCCCTGCAAAGATATATCCAACTGGAAGGTTTAGGTTAGGTATGCAACTGTGTTGTATGTTCTCATGCTAGAAATAGAAATCACATTGTATTTTTATAGAGATCATATTTGTTATTATACAATTGTAAAATTACATGTTCTAAATGAAATAGATACTCTAAATTTAAAGCATGGATTTAACAGAATCTAAAATACCAGATTATTGAAGAAATGGCTTAAAGCCTCTTAGCTATAACTTGAGCCTTCTCTAGCGTATTTGAATTTCACTCACATATTTGAAAGTAGGCGAAACAAATAAAAATCAATGTAGGCTGAATGTTTGTAAAATTTAGTGTTTAGAAAGCAACTGTATCTCTGTGGTGTTTTTTCATCCAAATTTGCCTACGTTTTGATATTTATACTGAAAGGAATTATGTAACTAGAGAAGTTTTACTCCTGACAGGTCTGAAGTCTACTGGAGGATCTGAAGTTGCACTTCTATGTGGAGAGACAGGGGCCAAAATTACTGTAATTCACATTTAAGTATTCCAAATTCTGAACTACTTTGGGTTCACTAGAATAATCTCCACAACCCTGGATACCTTAAAAAAGAAATTATCATAGCTTCCTTGGTCTTCCTTGTAGGTATAATGCTGCCCAAAGTCTTTCTGGAACAGACCTGATAGACTCCTTGCCTTTGCATGACCTGTTCCTGCATCAGAGCTTGCCGCTCGTTTCTCAGTAGGGAGAGATTTGTTTTCATTCAAAGGCTCTTTCATTGCTCTTTAGCTTCTAAAAGTAGCGGCAAGGAAGGTGAGATCTGATTCTAAAGAATCACGTGTTTGACTAAAACACCTTTTTTCATTAGTTTTGAGGATGAGACTATGTGATGGTTATGGCAGCTTTGTTTCACTTTCTTAGTTAAGAGGAATCTTCCTCCTTTCCATGTTGCTTATGTTTGTACGAATTCATACGTTGTTTTAGACAAAGGGATAAATGAAAGTTGTCACATGAAATTTTTCCCGTATAACCTAATGGAAAACTTCCCTGGAAAATCTATGGAACTTTTCTTAGCTCCTACTAAGAAAAAAATATAATCACTGCGCACATAAATCCTGGATACTTTCATATTTTTGCATGTGGAAAACATTCTTAGTTTTACAGCTGATCATACTGAGATTTTCAGAGAACAGTGAGATTCACTCATGACTTTGTTGCCAATGAAAAGCTTACCATTCTGCAAAGCCTGAACTGGGAATGAGGCATTATGCTGCCCATTTCTCCACTCTCCATGTGGCCTACTTGTCATCATATCTACAAAACAGTATGTACTGGATATGATTTTGGTGCAAGCTACCATTATCCTAAGGGAATCTATGTAAATGTACCATTTTGAAAATTATAATTTTGAAATAACTGTAGTAAGAGGAGAATGGGGAGTGACACAGCCCTTTCCCTCTGTTGGCTATGTGAGTCCCATGAAAGGATTGGAACTTTACTTAAGTGACATCTGTGATCTTCCAACTAGTCCACGGTGGTCTAAATCCATCATTGCCTGGTTTGTGACCCATAGTTAAGGGCTACTTAGACACAGACAGGAAAGGAGATGAAGCTGTGGGACGGAACTGAATGAAAAAAATTGAAGACCTGAATAATGTTTTTCAGCATCTGGAGAGTATATGTTGGGAATATGTATTTGATTATTCACTACTGCTTGTGATAGGGGAACCCTGTACACCAAAACCACTTTGAAATGAAGGGATGAAAAAGACTACAATATCTGTCCTGCATGTCTCTGCGAGCTAGCAGTAAGCGGAGCATAACCAAGGAAACTGGAATGATGCCATGCTACTCCTATTAGCCAAATATGAGTGACAAAGGAAAGTAGAAAGCACCAGTATATAAAAAGAAAACAGCAGTAATATTTAGCATTGTGTAGTAAATACGAGCTTTAAATGAGAACAAACAGAAAAACTGGTTTATTACTATGATTATGACTTTTCTATTTACATGAGTCTGTCCTTTTCTGATTGCGTGCTAATCACATTCTTTCTTATTCTTACTGCTTTCTTTCCTCCTTTCCTTAGGCAAAGCTTGGAGATGAAATTCTTGACTACAGGGATTTGGCTGCTCTTCCTAAAAATAAAGCCATCTATAACATTGACCGCCCAGATATGATCTCCTATTCTCCATATATCAGTTACTCTTCAGATGACAGGCATAGTTACGGGGAGGTACTGAAACATGGGTATTTTTTTTTACTGTGAATTTGAGATTTTACATGCATCATTAAACGTGCTGCTGAACACTCTTGAACATGTGCATAATTTAAAAAAAAAAATTACAGCTTCAGTTGAGTCGTGTCATCCATCCATTCACAAGGCATTTTAGCCTTCCAAAAACAAGTGAGATGTTCATTTCACTTTTTAGTTTGTGGAAATTAAAGAATTTCTTTCTAGGATTGTTTTTTAAACAGATGACATGTAATTAAAGTATGTTTTTCTATGAGAGGAGTTCTTAAATGCATGCGTTAGGAAACAGGAGCCATTGCTAATTATAATGTAAAAATCAGAAGCGAAGCCAAATGTCTTTCATGATTTTTTTAATTTTTTTTTTTAAAGTGTACCATGTTATTTTGGTAAGACAACAATGGTATCACTTTCCTATGTGCAAATTTCTTTCAACTGTCCCTTACTAAAGTTCATCCTCATGTTATGCATGCATTTCAACCTGTTCATATGCAGAGCTAATATTTCGCAGTTTGTGCTAATGAAATCTAATTTAGCATAATCTTACTAATTCTGATTTTTGTGAAGCGTTTTTGTATATAACTCCTGTCATGCAAGTTAGCTTTTCTTCCCTAACTGTACCTACCTTTTGTTTTAATTTCTGATTTCTTTCATAATTTTAGATACTTTTTTACAAATCAAACCTCTTTTATATATATATTTATACTAGGTATATTATCAATATACATATATATGGTCTAGAATGGAAGTCTGCATTGTTCTCTATAGGTGTAAGTGAATAGGTAGAAATAAATACTATAAATAGTAGCCATACTGTTTAGAATCGCCCCAGTCCTGCAATCACTTACACCTTTTACACTTAATCTACTACTCTCAGGTGAAGTGCAGGACATATGTTAGGTCTTGCAGACTGTCTTCCAAAACCTCCTCTGCACAGTGCTGAACCACAGTAGCTCTATTATAACGCATGCTAAAAGAATTGAGATTGTATCTGGTAAAGAGTTTAAATAGTATTCAGGTTTCTGAATTCATAAAACCGAAAGCTTCTTGCTAGCCCTGAATATACAGAGTATAAATATTTCCTTTCTTCATCAAGATTTGTGGGTGCTGATAATGTTTGTAGCCCTCCTTGACTGCTTGTTTACATGTACTTGGCAAAGATGACATCTAGGCTTGGCAGAGGTGCAGAGACTAAACAACCTTCCACCCAGGTCCTGGGAAGACTCACTCATTGCTCCTGCTCCAAGGTGATGGTATAAAGCCATCGCACCCAGCATAAATCTGTGCTGCTGCTGGAGGATTTCCCCCATCCTGCCCTCAGCATCTCCTTGGCCACTTGCTTCTGCCACTCTCCTTTGCCAGAGCAAGTGTCCATGTGTCTGTGGTAGGACGGAGATTTCTTTGGAACCTCTGGCATGATCTGACTCTGTGCCGTCACTCGAAGGCTGGAGATCCCACAGGCAGGACAACTGCCTGATGGGGTGGTGGAACTGCCCATCTTGGTGGCAGCCTGGCCTTTGCTGGGATCCAGCAGCAGTGACTGTAGGAACCTCAGCATCGCACTTTCAGGGGTGGGATAGAATGTAGTTGCAGTTGAGCTCTAAAAAAAAAATCCTAACCAAAGAAATAAAATCACAGCAAAGAGAGTATTGCTGCTATCACCTGCTTTTAGTGATGTCACCTGCTTTAGCTCACTGATGAGAACACAACAGGAGGAGTTTATTGGGACAATTGGAGTCATTGCCCTTTTCAGTAAACATATAACTTAACAGAAGATAAAAGGGATCACATTATGAATGAGAACTTTTTCCCTTGGGACTGTAGGAGACATCTACAGTGTTTGCACCACCAGCATAATCCCGCCTCTGGTAGGTCTGTGCTAATGTAGGCATTTATGTCAGCAAGACCTTAGTGAGATCTTAATAAAAAGTGGAGTTCAGTCGTTTATTTCTAGGTACCTAAACCAGGAGGGGGTTTTGGGCTGTGCTAGCAATCCAACATGCACATTTTCATGATGCTTGAGATATTTACATCCTTGATATCACCAGGGGAAAAAATATCATAGAATATCTCAAGTTGGAAGAGACCCATAAGGATCATTGAGTCCAACTTCCTGCTTGTTGCAGAACTGCCTAAAACTAGACCATATGACTCAGAGCATCGTATAGACACCCCTTGAACTCTGACAGGCTTGCTGCCATGACCACTTCCCTGGGGAGCCGGTTCCAGTCACCAACCGTCCTCTCAGTGAAGAGCCTTTTCCAAATGTCCAATCTGAACTTCCCCAGACACAACTTCATTTCATTTCCCCATGTCCTATCCCTGGTCACTAGAGAGAGAAGATCAGCACTCCCTGCTCTGCTGCTCCCCTTGAGGAAGTTGTAGGCTGCAATGAGGCCACCCATCAGCCTTCTTTTCTCCAAACTGAACAAAGTGACCTCAGCTGCTCCTTGTAAGTCTTGTGCTTGAGGTGTTTCACAATCTTGGTCTCCCTCCTCTGGACACACTCTAATAGTCTGATGTCCTTCTTATATTAAGGTGCCCAAAATTGCACACAGTACTTGAGGTGGGGCAGCACCAGTGCAGTGTAGAGTGGGACAGTCACCTCCATTGACCAGCTGGCTGTGCTGTGCCTGCTGCGCCCCAGGACGTGGTTGGCTTTTTTGGCTGCCAGGGCACACTATTGACTCGTACTCAACTTGCCATCAACCCAAACTCCAGACCTTTTTCTGTGGGGCTGCTCTCCAGACTTTTGTACCCTACTTTGTACATACGTATATCTTGTCTTCCAAATTTCAGCATCCTAGGTACACCTGCAGCAGCAATAGTTACAGTAGATTTCTGCTAACCTAACTGACTTTAGCCTTTAATTTTGAAAGGAAAATGAACGAACAGCAAATTTTCAAATTACATGATGTTTAATTAAAAATTAAATAGTACAGATATTTTTCTTTCCCTTAAATCAGCCAGCTGTGAGCAACAAAGTTCTAGTCCAGTTTTTTGAGCTGCTTCAATGCAGATTTAACTAGGGCTAGTGTCTAGTTTCAGGTAGTTGGTTTAAATGTGAGTTTCCCTTCTAGCAGCGCTCTCTGTGGTACAGTACTGGCCTCACCAGCCTCCAGGATTTTGTAGTAAAGAAATCAACAAAAGCTTTATATGAAATTGCTTAGATCTTATTCCGTATTTACTTCTTTAAAAACAAATACAAATTTCCCTAACTTAATTGACAGGTGTTTTTCATAACTGTATCATGTGTTATACACGGATATTGATATTTTAAGAGTAGTTCTTCTCACAAGTAACATCATGCATGAATTTGTATCACTAATTTGTTGTGTGTTGCTGTTTGCAGTCACCTCAGTTGCTCTCTCCAACACCTACTGAGGTAATCCCCAATGCCTTTGTTCTCCTGTTCTGACCGACTTTGTGATGCATAAACCTGGTCATATTGATAACCAGTAGCGTCTGAAATGTGGGGTTTGCCTCCTGCCTCTGTAGTGCATGGGGGTTTAGAATTTATGTTTTTCACAGTGTTACTTGTGTTGAATACGTGCTCTGCTTCTGGATTGTCATCTGTATGCGTTTGTCTCCACTGTCATCCATGTTTCTGCTTTCCAAAATAAAAGTTGTATTGTGGTCACTTCTTCAAGCTCTACTAAATAAATTATGGTCGGAAATACAATTTCTGTTTACATTTAAACCTGCCAGCATAAGTTGACTTTAATTAATTAATTTTAATGGATTGATTTATTAATTACTCTTTTTTATTTTTGTTTTTTTATTTCGCAAATAGTTAAACTACTTATACTATTTGTGCACACATACTGTTAAATCATTTGCACATACCTGAACTTCTAGGTCTGTGGTTTTTGATGTGCATTAGTGATCAAAGCCTGTCATTGTTTCAAGAGGCATCACCTTGAAAGAAGTTGTGGAAGCATTTCACATAGCTTCCTAGGTTGTAACACAGTTACATACCACAGGCCTGACTAATTTCTCCATTATCTCAATTTTACATTTAGAGAACTGTATTGCAAAATGTTGGTAACAGTGGAGAATTGTGAATTTTCATTAAGGATTGTAAATGACCAACTGTCACTATGAGCCTTGGTTCAACAGAAAAGTTAACCACTAGAAATGTAATTTAATTGACATGAACTTGGTTGATCCTGACAGAGACACAAATTACCAAAAGATAAGATCTGAAATAATCAATATGAAATCTTGGTCTTTTGGAAGAATATAATAATTTCCTTTAAATTAGCTAGCAGTCATACTGTTAAATTCCAGAAGTCACACTGGTATGAAGGTTGGTGCTGCCATGATTCATGTTTTGTGAATTCTCCAGGTTATCCAGCTTTGCCATACTGTCTTTCTTTAAAGAGTCTATGATCAGGTACTCAGGCATCATCATCTGCAAACTTGTCACCAGTTTTGTTGCAGGGATTTTTATGAGAGGAAGATTCCACTGTATCATACAGTTGGAAACATCATAGACCATTAGCTAACACTCATATGATATTTAAATGTCACCACAAGACTTTCTAGAGACATTGCTATACTGCTTGTAAATCTCTTCACAAGGGTTAGAGTGAGTATTAAATAACGTAGCTACTTTGGAAACATCTCAAACTGAGCATAGAGCAGAATGCCTACAGAACACTGCATGCTTGGGAATGCATCAGTTGGGCTCACTTTTTTGTATCATTTCTTCTGAAATGAATATTAAAGCAATAATGCTATTTACCACTATACAAAACTGATTTTCCATTTTTAAATATGTAGTCAGTGAGTCGGAGGTGAGGTGGAAGGGATGGAGCACACCTGAACCAGAGGAGAAAAACTGATGATGGGAGAACATTCTATATCTCTGTACAGTCAAGTATAATCCCAAAGAAGCCAAACAGCAAACCACATTCATCTAAAGATGAGTGGATGGATATAATTAAGTTGTCCTGATAGGAATCTGGGAGATAATGATGAGGCTAAGTAGGATCTCCCATGTGTTTAAATGATGAATGATCCAGTGGGAGTCACATGGATACCTAAAGATGTCCCAGTATTCATGACAAGTGACTAACACCTACCATGGTATAGCCTGTCTTCACTCATTCCTACTGGAATGGGAGAGAGGAAGCATTTCTTGGAGTATGACTTTCTATAAAGGAACATCGGCAGGTTACATTCATTTGTTCTCATTTGACATTAACTCAAGGCAATTCTCGCCTGAATTGAAAGAAACAAGAAATTGGAATTTGCTTTTATAGCTAGTTTACAAGAAGTAATTTCCACATCTAATTCACTCAGTAATACTTTTACTGTTAAGAAGACACTACATGCAAATTGCAATTGTAATTTAACTAGCTACAGAGAGTGAGGGGTTTGGAACGAGTGTACATGGTTTTAAATGGTTGAAGCCAAAGGTTTAGTGGGAAATAGGTTGTTTGACTTGCTTTGCACAATGCTGCAGTATTAATGCTAGTGCTATGTATGAGTGTTTTTATCAGTTTTTACCTAGCTAGTAATGACTTTTTTGTAATATGGTACACTGAGCAATTTATATAGCAGACACAGTTGCCTCTGTGATGTAATGAAGCCAACAAATGCTGATTTTTGTGTTGCTGGTAACCATCATGCATCGATTCATATGGGTACAAAGTGACCATAGTACTGTTATGCTAACCTGATCTCGTCTTCCACCCACCCGTGTATGTTCAGGGAGTTACACTGACCTGAAACAACACTTCTACAGTGTTATGTTCTTTTCAAATTATATTGTCGTTTTAAATTCATGTATGTGCTGACTTTCCTGGGAACAGGACTGTTCTCTGATACTTGGCAGAGCTCTTTGGTCACACTGTGGTGGAAGTGCTTACAGCTGAAAGCCGCCTCATTTCATTGGGATTGCATGGAGCGTTACGACAGCATCGACTTCCATCTACACAGCACAGAAACGTGCAAAATGGCATATTCTGCCTGTTTCGGAAGTTATTTCTCTTCCCTAATGATGTGTTTCATCTCTTCTTCCTCTCAGGGTGACCAAGATGACAGATCTTTCAAGCAGTACAGGACGTCAAGTCCTAGCTCTGCTGGCTCACTCGGCTATGGTCGCTACACTCCAACCTCCCATTCTCCTCAGCATTACAGCAGGCCAGGTAACTGAAAAGCAGCTTTATTTATTCTCTAGGTTTTTCCACTACTTTGTCTTATGTTGTAAGTAGGGTGGAGTCCAGTAGACAGGGATTTCAGGTGGAGTAACAGTTCATTGCAGTGATTTATTTACTGTGAACAGAGTGCCATGGGGAGAAAGGAAACAAGTGCTTCAGGAATGAGCATCTAAGAAAACAAAAACAGGTATCTAGAAAGATTGCTTTTATGTATCTGTAAATAGAAGACGGAACAGTTTAAAAGTCCTGGTCCCATCCTGCCTGAAGCTGCACATTCAATCCACAGCTCTTTCACGGTGCGACGTGGCAGCAGTGAATGTGCACAAAGCCAAGAGGATGATCGAGTGGCTTTGTATCCCGTCATGTACCACAGGGTTATGGTCTGTGTCTCCTCTCCACAGTGCAAGAGCTGGAGGAGTGACTAGTGGTTCTAATGGCCAGAATTTGGAGGCAAAATTGCTTTAGTTGAGAAGCATACAAAGATATTTATTGCAGCTTTGGGCTGTTGTAGCAGCTGTGTTGGTGCTCTTGTGGCACAGAAGGAAGGGATCACCTCTTTTTGAGCTTTGCATGGGGATCCCTTACAAAAGTCCATTCATATCTGTGTAGTGTACAGAGTTTTATCCTTAAAAATAGTCAACTAAATTGCTCAAAATTAATTCTGATTTTTCTCCACTCCAGCATTTGGGTGGAAAACACAGAGCATTTATGTTACTTTCTTAGTGTCTTTTAATTTCATTGGGGATGCTTTATAATTATAAACTAGTTTGGAAGATTGGGAGTTCTTATTCTCACCAGTGGAAATGAAAATTTTATGGATAACAGAAACAGTTTTTACAGGAATTTAATTTTTGTACTATATAAAGTCTTTGACGAAGTGGAAATGAAATTACCAAAGAGAGGAAAGATTAGTCTCTGCTGAACGTCTGGCAGCTGTGTCATGCTTAAGCTCAGCTGCACGCTGTTAAAGCAAGGAGGAAAGACAGAAGAAATTCTGAATTAATTCTAGTGTTTTACAACTTCATTGAAAATTTAGTACATCATCATCATAATTGCTGCTTTTAATAATTGCCATTAGTCCTGCAAAAGATGTTATCAGGACATTATTACAACAAAGTAAACAAAGGTGACTTTTGAGAACATTTTCAAAGTACTTAATCACATGTCTAACTTTCAGAGCTCAAATAACTTCAGGATGTTTCTTCACATGCTTATATTAGCCACGCACTTGAGTGCCCTGGTGCGTTGTGAACTAAATCCTAACAGTGTGCACCGACGGCAGTGAGAACTGGACCAACTCATAGCACAGTTCTCAGCAGAGACAAGGCTCTCCCCATTTCATTCCATTAGATCCATTATGAGCATATATCATTCCCTCTTGCAGCTTTTGAATATGCAGATTATCCCCTGAGTGCAGCTATGCTTTTTGTGGTGCCTTTTCTGGAATATTTTCTGATGCATTACATTATCAGCATTTTACATGATAGTCTTTCTGTCTGCAGAAAGCCTGTGTCCCTTGGCCAACCACATAGTATGGCCAGTGTGATGTTTTTAGCAATAACAGAGAAAGATGAAGTCCTAAACATAAACTATATGTTTTCTAAGCATCAGGAGGAAAATGTTCCTGAGAAAAAGGATGGCATTGTAATTTGTGGCTTTCAGTAAGTGAACTAAATAGTTTATTTTCACTTACTCTCTGTTGCCCCCAGCTGGTACTCAGAGTCTTGGTACCAGTAGCTGCATCTCCCTGCCCCAACACCCAAGCCCTACATCTACATTCAGACATCATTACATCCCTTTCTTCAAAGGTAAGGTCCAGGAATGCAAAACCGTGCTGTGATACTGTAGACTTATTCAGATGTGTTTCACTTTTATGTCTGTGCAAGCATGGCTTCCACTTGGATAAAATTTGTCTTAATTTTGTGCAAGTGCTTTCTTGATGTACTGTGTAAGTTTTAAGAACAGAGTGGGTATGGGTTGTTTTATTTTTGCTTTTTTTTTCAGTGAGTGTTAAGTGTTTTTCAAAGGGGTGGAGGGAAGGAATTAGATTTTCTAATGAAAGTGAGGGAGGGAAATAATTTTCAAGTCTATTTGTTCTCAAATACAGTGTTTATTTTAGTGATGCTAAATAAATATTTTAACAAGCTTATACATTGGATCCAATGTTGGGTGATCAGTTATCTAACCTTCTTACCTGCATTTAAAGATTCTTCATGTCATTTGTAGTATTACCAAAAATTATGCAGAATAAGCTGGTTAAATCAATATACCTGCACTCATTAGCAAATAGTGTTATAAAACAGAATAACTGAGTCTAGTCTCCTAGGCATTAAATTATTTTGCAGTGGTTATCCACTTCTAATGACCACCATGTTGCAGATGTGAGACAGTAATGAGAAATGCCATGAACTTTTGAGGCAAAGACTATTTTTTTTTTAGCTAGTTACTTAAATGTCAGGAAGAGAAGACGTTCAGCTACCACGTGTCTTCCCCTGAGTCTGTCCTCTCTAGTAACAATACGAGTGGGGAGGAGATATGAATGATGAATGCCAAACATTTTCACTGTCTGTTCCTTGACTCTCATGTACTGTTTGATTTAATAAAGCAAAAGCTTTTCTTGCTCTTGTAACCATTACAGAACTGGAAGTGACCCTTTGCAGGAGCCAGACTTGCAAACTCAAATGAATAGCAGGCACTCATCACCTTTGGAAAAATAACTAACGCATCTTCATTGGGCCCTGATGTATCCAAAACCAGTTCTGTCCACAGTCGGTGGTTCACTGGTCAGAGTTTCACTGGTGTAAGCAGGAACGGAATCAGGCTCGAGTCTCCCGAATGTGATCCCTGAGAGAAAATTTTGAAAGAAAAAGCCGATGAGATTAAATTGATTGTAGCCATTTTAAAGTCTACATGCAAAACTCCTTCCCACACCTACAAGTGCTCAACCCCCAGCCTCCCCTCCAACATTTCTTGGGAGGCTGGCACGCACCTTGGTATTCCCTGAGGCATTGCGTGAACAATTTTCTGATCTGTCCTCCAAATTTGGACGATATCATCCAACCTGATGTACTGAGTAAGAAAAACCTCGTTCATGTTCTGCAGTGCACAATCTCACTGTATGGGAAGCTCTTATTCGAAAGCCCACCTGCAGTTGCTTAGCAGCATTCCCGTTAAAATGACTTTCTGTTCAGTGTTACCTGCTGTTGCTCAGAGCAGCAGCAATTACTATGTGCTGCTGTTTGGAGGAAGAAATCCTCAAGTGGCAGCTCCTTATGCCCAAACAATTATTAGTAGTGTGATCAAAATTGTAATATTTTGCAATTCTGCAGCAATTTTTGTCAAGGAGCTAAAATATTTTGCAAGCAGGAGCTTAGAGTGCCTCACAGCACTGCTGTGAGGCGGGTGAGCCTGGTTATAATTTTCCTATATAGGTAATCCTAAGCCCTTCAGAGGTGGTATAGATTATCTGCTGTTTTGCACTGATTTAATGTCTCAGTCCAAAAGGAGTAAGAAGATTTGCCCCCATCCTCTTCAAGTTCTCTGAGTTCTTTGCTCTATGTTGCAGACTGTATTTTTTTCCTTATCTTGAGAAGCCTTTTGAGGGCGTCGATGTGCTATTTTTTTCTCTTCAAAGTGGTTAGTGTGGGAAGAGTAGGATTGTATGAATAGTTGCTTTGTATCCAGACCAAGGTTAATGTTGCTACTTCAGTTTTGAAAAAATTAAATCATATTCATTTGAAAAATTTTGATTAAATCCAAAAATAATACAATGCTTAACAATACTAGAAGTAATCTTTGTGAAACCAGCATTCCACAATCGTCATTAAAAAATATCTCTTTAAGCTTTCAGGAGACAGAAATGTTACTACTCTAGGGAAATTAAAACACACAGAATCTTCCTTTTGATTTCACTGAGTTTGCATCATATTCTTTCTGAGAATTACATGGTTCATTATTTTTTCAGAAAAAAAAATATGATTACTGAGTTCCTGTTCTTTCTTCAGTATACTATAATCTAGCTTCCATGAAGTGTAATAGGATGAGCTATTATTTATCATACAGACAAATGATTTGGTTGTGCTCTTTTAGGGATTTTTGTCTTTAGAACATCTTCAAAATAAATCCTATGACAGCCTTGCTTCAAGAAAGCTTCACAGTTCATGCCCTTGCGAATCGTAGGGTGCGATATTCCAAGTACCTGCGCTTGGTGCAGCTCTTCCTCTTGAGGTGATAGAATCAGTGAACATACAGTGCCAAGCCCGAGTGAAAAACTGCTTACTTAAAACGTGGTGGAAAGTATCTTCCCTTTCTAGTGCAGGAGCACAGTTTGTAAAGCCCGTTTATTTGGCTCTGAAAGCTTGAAAAGAATTAGTCATCAAGCTTCAAAATACTTTGTCTAGTGTAATGCACCATGTGCAGAGATATTAAAGGATTTGGTTTCGGGAGTAGGCTCTGACATCTCCCTCGTTAGGCCAGTGATATCTGTTTGTTGTTCAATCCCCGAACTTAGACAGCTCCTACTGTAACTCGTTATCAGATTTCCCTTCCTCCCAGATAAGAGAAAAGCTGACTGGGAAGGAGGTATAAACAATGTGATACTTTCCCTGACAATCCCTTGGAAAGGAGCGTGTTCTGAGCTCTGGTCAGTTGGCTCCATACACACAAGGTTAAGAGAACAGCCTGCCCATCAGCAGCCAAAAGACACAAGGAAGTTTTTGTGGTTGACAATCGAGTTCAAAGTCAGCGTTTCCAGATTCTTTCCAAGTTAAACAAAATCCAGAGAAGAGTTCATGATTCTGTTTTTTTTTTTCCTCTGCACTGACCAGTAGAGCAGATCACAAGCCTGCAGCTGCTTGTGGCAGGAGATAAAACCAAAATTCTGAAAAATCACTCTCTGGTAGTTTATTTTCTCTGAGTTCTTCTTCAATGTATACCAGGCAAACCTTGAAAGAGACAAATTCTTGGTGAAGTCTCATTTTAGAAATTTTAATTATAGACTAGGTTAAATGACTGTCTGGAGTTCCTACACATGAACATTTTACATGGGTCTTCAATTTGCTTCATTATTAAATATGTATTTTTGTGTGCAAAATGTCAAATACAACTACTCTTTTGTGTTTGTCCAAATCGGTGGCAGAGTTATAATTTAAATGTGCATCAGCTTGTACGAGTGGGCTGCTGGAAGAACTTTTTCCCTCATTTCATCCTTAATTCTTCCCTTTTGAGCAAGTTAGAGGTGATGGCTTTGCAAACAGCTCCACTCAGGTGATCCTTGCATCAAGCAGTTTGCAGATTTGCTGTCCTCTGGTACTTGTGCTTGCATCCTGTTTTCTTACAGATTTATTCCTCTTAATCAATACTTCCTCCTGATTCCCCGAGTATGCTACTGACACCCTGCCCTGTCTTTGAAGAATGACTATGTATACGATACCAGCACCTTGAGGTCACTGCTCAATGAAGTGATTATTCATGCAGGTCATATATGAATATGATTTTTAATATTATTCTAATTTTAAAATAAATAAGGAATTAATTATTCTGTGTGAAAATTATTCTGCTGTGAAAATCACTTGAAAACTTTCCTTTCCTTTTCAAATTAAATCATTCCAATAGTAACATCACATTGGGGTGAGTGACATTACAAGATTTTTAAGGTCACTGGAGTGTAAGGGACTTTACTTAAATAGGTAACTACCGCTGCTCTTTGTGTTCAAAGTTGAAGTGACATGGAGGCTTCTTTCCATTTAGTAGGGATGGCCAAGTGTCTGGGCAGCAAGCAGCAAAGAAGGAATTAATAAATGGGCAGTGAAAACCTGTCACCACTTCTTTCCTTCCAAGAGCAAAGCGGGAATCAAACTGAATAACCGCCTGGTTCCTTGTCTGAGGATGAGTTAACTGCAAACTGGTGGTGACACACCAGGTTTTTAGTAATGCCATAATTCTTCCCTTCCTTCTTGAAAGGACCATAGGATATAATCAACTGCAGATATGATTTCAATTTCTCAGCTGCTCTGATTACTTTTTTTTAATGCAGAATCACTGCTACAGAGTACACAGTGGTAATGACTGAATAGTTTTTGAGTTTTAATTTTTCACTAACTGTGAAAATAACAGACACAAAATTTAGAACGAGTTGGTTAGTGTGTTGTCATGAGATTCACAGCACACTCTTCTCACCTTGTCTGACCTGCTTGTGCTGCCATTGAGGTCAGTGGCACTACCCAGTTGACTTCAATGGTGCATGTCAGGGCTGGCTTTGGTGACAGACCGATGACCATGCATCCACTGCTTGTTGACAGAGACAAGAGTTCGGCAGAGACCACCTCCATGGGCATGGCCTAGACAGTTATGCTAATCCAGTAGTTTTATGGTCATAAAACTTCCCCTCCCTGAACGCTGAACTCGGTTACAGATCTAGCGCTCTGAGCTGCTGCACTTTCTTATACCCCCAGAAAACTTGCTATAATTTCATCGTTACTAGCCATTAAATTTGTGCTTCATCCCCACTAAAACAATAACAGTGAATTAACAGCCGTTTTATGTTAGAATAAATGTCATGTTTGGCTTCCAGTTGCTTAACAGTGCTGTAAATTAATTGGATTTTACAAGTCCCAAAAAAGTACAGCTTTACTTTTTTGTTTGCCAAGCAGCACTATAATGCCATAGAGTGTGCTTCAGGGAAATAAGCTAAGAGGAAATGAATGGCACCTAATGCGTATTTGACAAAACAAGTGGAGAAATGAATACAGGTCAATCCTATGTATATCTTGAAATTTGGTGAAGTGACTATGGCATTATAGATCCATGACTTGATAATCCAACCTTGTTTGCATAAATATAAAATGCTGTGGCATGTTACCTGTGGGAAAAGTTTGCAATTAAGAAACAAATTTCAACATCTGTTTTTGTCACTGCAGGAATCTTTGACTTAACCATATCATCTGTTTTTTGGTCTAGTCCGGCTTTGAAATAATTTAAACACTAGTGAATGATTTCATTACTGGTTTCAGGGGCAGGCTATAAGCCATAGCATTAAACTTTTCAGAAACTTGTTTGGTAGATTATTCAGTTAAGGCTAAGCAAAACACATTACAAGTTTGTGGGTGTTCTTATCCTTTTATTTTCTTCATTAAAGTGTTTTAAATAGAGAAGCTTTAGTTTCAAATTGGGGCAGTTTAATCTGATATTATTTATCAGATATTCATTATTGATGAAATGTTTGGAGACTAAGCCAAGACACTGTGCTGAAAAATAATAGGTTTTACAAAAACAACACGTATATTTAAAACCGTTGGATTAACAAGTCATTCGGAACAAGCTTTTATGCTTGAAATACTCTACTTTGCTTTCCATTTTTTCTTTTATCTGCTTTCTTTGCTCTTCCCCTTGGAGGCAGTGAAAGTGGTCGGAGCACTCCAAGCTTATCCATGTACTCAGACAGCAAATCTTCACCTTCTGTCTATCAGCAGGCTCCTAGGCATTTCCATATTCCAGGTAGGCATTCACTGCTTAGCTTTTGATCTTCAAATGCTGGCACCTGTTTATTCTTTTCGTAATGTGTTGGTTTTTTTTTTTTTTTTGCGGTGATTTGTGAACTTCAAAGTGCAAGAGAAGAAAATGTCTGATGAGTAAATATATGTTAACTGTTAAATGAGAGAACTGTGTGCTTGTGTATATTTAAAAAAATTGCGTTAGAGGAGGCACACAGTGACAAATGTTATTAAGCTTACAGAGATACCATTATTTGTAGTGCCACAGTTGCATAGGTCTGTGCAGGAGGGAAGGCTGAAGGAGGTTTTGGTTTTGTTTTTTTTTTTTTCCTTGACTGTTTACTCTCAGAATTAAAGAGTCATATTAACATAGACTTCAAAAACGGCTGAAGGACTTTAGCCCACCTGGAAGCTCGCTGTGGCTGTGTCTTTGCATATGTGCTATACTGTTCTCAAGTTCACATTCAGTTTACAAGCACATTAAATTTATGTCCATGGCCTTTAAGCACATGTAAGGACATGTACCTGCTCAGTGGAATAGTTTGTTTATTTACATTTAGTTTCAGGGATTAATATTTTTATGAACACACCGTAATTAAGAATTACTCAAGTCTGTAGTACTAAGTAAATCTGATGTCTATACAACATGATAAGGGAACCCTGGACTGTGACTCTGGGAGCTTTCACAAAATTCCAGGAAGACCAAGTCGGCTATACAATTCAAAATATAGACAAGCTATAGAATTTCCTATAAGAATATTAGGCACTTCCAGTATCAACTTCTATATCTGAACATGTACACTTTCTTCATAATTGATCAAGAAAGTCTGTTTCCACATGTGTCTATTGTAATGGTTTTGTACCATTACATTAACTAGTGAGAAGCCTAGCCAGTTTCTCTTTGTTGTCTATGAAATATAAATTAGTAGTGCAAATATAACCACCTACATTTCAGCAAATGGATGCCACTCAAGGTGTCTTAAGGCATTTTGAGGGACTTAAGGAAGATTATGCTGCACAAGTAGGCATAGCTAATGTTTTAAATATATAAAGATGATAGGTAAGGCTTCATTCTCTTGTAATAGCCAGTGAATGACAAACCACTGAATGAATGCATAGTCTCTGATGAAGTGTTTGCATTTTAGTGTTGTTGAGAGGAGACAAGAGCAGCATGGTCTGAACTACTTGCTTACTCTTTTATTCTTTCCTTTCTCTTTCCTTTTCCTCAGACACTGGTGTAAAAGATAACATCTATAGGAAACCTCCTATCTACAAACAGCATGGTACAGTCTGCTTTTCTCTGTTGCAGTTTTCTCTACATGTCTTTGTAAGGAAATGCATTTTGACTTCTGAATTAGTTTGCTGTAGTCTTCGCATTTCATTATGTCGCCATAATCTCAAATAGAAAAAGAAAAAAGTAATGCGAAAGTTAGACAACATTTTGTATGCTAACCAGGTATTCAGTAAGTTCTCTAAAACTGGCATTAAAATATGCAAATATAGAAGTTTGCTCTTCTCATTTCAGACCATGCCTTGGGTGTCTAGTTTTTGTAAATAATTCTGACTTCTACATTGCTGGGGAAAAAAATGTTCATTCATAAGTGGTGTATATGAAATATCTACTTTTCATCTGCAAGTTCCTCAAGATGTAAAATATCAAGAACAAATGTAATCATACCATGGCAGTGAGGAAAAATTCAGTGGCTGATAACATTGGCAAGATGTGATTGGAAAAACTTTGGTAAACTCAGCAACAAAATTGCTGTCTGAGTTTCTAATAGAAAGAATTATGTGACGTTTTATACCACTGAAGATCTAACTTAAGACTCTAGTAAATATAAGAAAAAAAAAAGGAAATATAAAGTCTGCATTCTTCTGTTACTATTTTTGCTTTATATTTCACTGATTATGATCAATACAATTTCCATGTTGATGTCAGTTCCTACTGTGATCTCTGTGATGTTTGACGATGATCTTGGTTCGTGATGCAGGTTTAGTAACACAGAATTCATTTTTCTAAACAGAATTCCGTTATTAATCTTTGAATCAAATGTGTATGGATTCTGCTGCAATAGGGTGCCTGAAAAGTGCAGAAGTACACTTCTGATTAAGAGTCATGACTGGGTTTTTCCTGTACTCAGAAGCAAAGGGAAAAAATAAAAATAAAATACGTAATATAAATCTTCCCCAAACCAAAAATTGTATTTTAATCATGATTACTCTCCTTCTTGGGAATGAATGAGAGAATAAAAGAAACATGTAGCTAAGGCCTGTTGGGGATGAAAGCTTGTATCTTTGGGACGCAAATGAGAGAGTGAAGCTACACCACTCTTCACGGCAAGGGAAGATCTAGGCAGTGCCTGTGAACAATGCCTCTGGTGGAGCAACTCCTCCTGCGACTTACCTTCTGCACTGCTGTCCGCGCAGAGGTGACTTCCCATGTTGTATGTAAGAGTGACAAGGCTCCGTGTGTCTGTTCTCCCATACATAGACTTCTAGCTGATTGATAGCTCATAACTTTCCGTGAGAGAACAGTTAGGGAACTGCATATACGCCACTGGCTTCATAGCCAGATCAAGGAAAATGCATTTTACCTGTTTTTCTTTTGTGTTAACAGGAGACTTTAACTGATTTTAAAATATCCAATAGTTTTAAAAATGATGCTGTTATGTAGTTATCATTTTTCTTTTGCGGAAATCTACAGTTATTTCTGCTTTGGTTGAAGTTCTAGTTTGCATCCGATTCAGTAATAGGAGAAAGAAAATCATTAACTGATGCCTCCCAACTGAGCGAGTCAGGCTGTGCATGTTCCTGGTAACCAGTGCATCATGCTAAAGTAACTGTATGTTCAAATCATCCAGATTTAGATAACCTCTGTGATTTTTCTGGGTATGGTTTTGAGCAAAGTCAGACTTGCTGATGTTTCAGTGCACTTTAGGTGTTGGTCTTTGATAGCCATTTTCTGCTCACAATATCCTAATCTTGGACAAACTAATGTTACCTCCAAGGCAGAAAGATAGTATCTGGTTTAGTGCTTGATTTAATGTAATCTGCCAAGCTTATAGTCTGCCCAAGCTCTCTAATTCTTTCCTGTCTTTAGATATATAAATCATTTGAGGCAACTACTTAGGCTGAGCAAAAAAATCTACTGACAAAAGAAAAAGTTGAATATTACAGTGGTGTTTGGAAAGATCATAAGCAAATGCAAAGTTGCTATCATCTGGTGTAAATCAGCGTAGCTTCACTGATTTACACAAGCTGATGGTATGGCTCAATGTCCTGTATCCTGGCTGTGTCATTTAATTTTATAGATATTTTTGGTTTGCAAAGAGGATTCTAATAAGCAGGTTTTTTTGTTCCAGGCCAGGCATTTTTAGATAAATTTTCTGTCTGTCAGATATGCAGTCGAAGTCTGGATTACGTCAATTTTGCACTGCTCTATGGAGTTGTTCCTCGTAATCACTAGAGTGAGCAGAGAATTAAATTACCGAGTCAGCAATCTCTCTAGATTAACAAGGATATATGTCTTAAACTTTCTTTTATAGATTGTAGAGGTTCTGAAAGGTTGTGTTGAAAATACGTGCACGTTGTTTTTCTACTAAAGAGCAAAACATAATTAACTCAAAACAAAAAAAAAAATCAATGAACTTTCCTTCAAAAAAATTAGAATTAAATAAATAAAATTTACCTTTTATTCTGGAAGAACTGCTGGCTAAAGTGTGAAGACAGGATCAACTGATGATTCAGCTCCTCAAGCTAATGGGACACTGAGCTGATGATACATGCTGAAAAGGAGCCAGAGAACATTCCTTCGTTGAAGAGACTAAGTTTGAACAAACAAGCACAAAAATGTTCTTTAAAACAAAAAGTGCAAGGAGCTCTTCCAAAACATTTGGCTTTAAAAGGTTTCAGTTACAGCAGTGCCCAACAGATTTACTGTAGCTACAGCTTCTGTGTTTCTATTCTAAACACCCAACTTCAGAGTTAAAAAAAAAAGTGGTGGAAAAATGGGGCATACAAGAGATCAGCCTGAGAGCTGGGGTTGGAAAGTGAAGAGTGAGGGAGCCTGCGTGATTGTTCTTTTGTGTGTGTTCATGTTTCAGAAATATTTTACCATCATTCAAATTAAAAAAAAAAATAGAAGAGGTTTGCTTTTTGGAATATTAGCACTCATCCATGTGAAACATGCAGTTCATGTTGGGGTTCGCAGCAGAACTGAGTATCCCTTGTAGCAACGAAGCTAGTGCTCAGTATCGATGAAATTCAGGCCACATGAGTTCTCATGAGCCACTTGGCCTGAATTTGGCACATTTGCCAGCGATATGGAGTATAAAGGACTCTCAGGATCTTGGGAGAGGCAGGCCTTCGTGGCCCCCATCAGTGTTGCTTCTACTCCTCTGGCTCTCTGTATAAAACCTTGGTGTTAAGTAGTTTGAAGTCAGATGCTCTCAAGATCCCGTGGAACTTTTGAAATCTTTGAATAATGCTTTGGATTAAACTTGTTTTTTTAGTTTGAAAACATTAACGTTTTGAAACAAAAACAATTTCAAAAAATGCATCAGATTTCTATATGGATTTCTGATTTAGTGAGAGCAAGAACCATACATATGGAACGATGATCATACCTGGAATGACTTATTGACTGGTGATTTAGGATATGCTCCCAAAATATCAGTGAACCAGGTTTAAGTCCTTCTTGCAATGTAGAGACTTTATTTTTCATCTTTCATATGTGGATATTTCTTTCTAGTTCTTTCTCAAGAAGCAGCTTGTCATTTCAGGAAAATGCCCTGGTTGGGATGCAATTAGCTAACTGCAAAAACTTTGGGTTTTTTCATAGTGCTATTTTTATTTTATATCGCAACTTCACTTTGCCGCATTAAATTGAGAAAAAAAAAAAGCTCTACAGTTACAGATTTTCACCTCTAACCCACAGATTTTTTCCTTAGTGCAATTTGTCATTTTTAAAGTATCACCTCCTCAGGAAAACCAGTTAAGGTCTGGATGTGAGCTGTGTAACGGTACCAGAAAATAAAACTGAATAGCACTGAAATGCTAATGGTAATGGCCTTTTGCCCATGTTGTTTAGATGCAGGGCAGATCCTCTGCAAATGTGCTGGCTGAAGAAATGGAGAGGGCAGAGCTGGGAGCATTACAGCCCTTCTAACGGTGCAAGTTGATCTCCTCCCTACCTCTGTCTCTGAGAGTCTAATCTGAGCCTTAACTTTTGTATTATTATACTATTTTATTATTAATATGTTTTCTGGCTGCACTGTGTTGCATGGAGCTCTTGTGTTGCCCTTGGGCATTGTGGACAACCCCCTTGTTGTGATAAGTTCTCATGAGCTTAAAATTATGCTAGATCATTGCATTACTCCAGTTTTGTACCATTAAAACTTTCTCCAAAACAACATAGAGTGATATAAAGGCAAGTAGGACTCAAATTTTGTGAAATTCAGCACAGAATCTTTCTGTAAGGTTCTGCGATGTAACTCAGTGTCTAGAACAATATGCTGGGACATAAAAGACAATGAAAATCATATTTGATGATTCAGAACTATCTAATGAATAGCTTTTAGGTTTTCAGGTTTGAGTTTTTCTTTTCAGCAAGTTGGAAAGTTAGAAGAAAAGAAACCAACAGTAAAATATCAGCAATATTTTTTTTTATTGTTAAAATACTCTTTAAGAGGGCAATATAGTCAAAAAAGTGGTTGGTCACAGAACTGTGAATTTTAGAGTCTGACATAGCCTTTCTTGCAGATTTCATGAAGAGGTACTACGAAATTTGTTGCTATCTTCTTTACCATCTTTGCCTATCCTTTTGGGAACATAGGAAGCCCAAGTGTGCAGACCACAAAACATCTGTGAAACCATATGTACTTTCCTGGTCATGGTAACACAGAAGAATGGAGAAATGACTGCAGTGGTGCAGTGACCATATAAATCTGTCTCTAAATTTTGATGTAGGCTTTTTCCCACCAATCATTCCCCAACAGTAATTTCTTCCTAAAAAAAAGATAGGTTCCAGCAAGAATAGATTGTTTAAATTCACAGTATGCCTGAAGGATGAGTATTACTGTAATAATTTCAAAATGATTTTAAGTAATTCTGGAAGAACATAGCTCTACACATCGAATTTTCTGCCCAGCTCTGTTTTGGTCTTTTTTTAATTGGTTTGGTTTTTTTTCCCCTTTTAAAAATCTTTTGGACATAGTTAGAGTCAAAACAGAAGACAAAAAGGATGTAATCTGTTCTAATTTTTAAAATTAACTTAATCTTCCAGCAGCAAGAAGATCAGAAGGGGAGGATGGAAGCTTGGATCAGGACAGTAAGAAGGTAATGATCAGAAAGAACATAAGGGAGTAGTTTATTGATCTTTCTTGAAGCAACTGTGTTTTAAAACATGTTAATATGTCAAGGTATTCTTTCATTTAACTGGAATAATCATTACTACTTTTAGGTCTTTCCAAGAAGATATAGAAACACTTAATCTCTCACCCAGAGGGTTTAGAATCTAAATTCTACAGTAAAGAAAGAAATAGGGATATAGAGATTAAGAGCAATAAGCTCATGGATTTTCACTCAATCTCAATATATACACTGGTGATTCAGCTAAGCCTGTGGACTTTTACTTAGAGTGTATGTTAACATACAAGAAAAACGTTAACAGAAGATGAATTATAAGAAAACAGTATAGTGCGTCTTCTAAAGAGAAGTGGAGTGAGCACCTTAATTAACGGAGAAACTATCCTCAGCCCATCTGAAAGTTTAAAGTTTTTGGTAGCTATGACATCTAACAGGGAGTCTCATGCTATAGTCAACTTTTATAATTTGGTAAAGGATGATGTAACTTACAAGGAGCATAAAATACGATCATTTCACGAGACTTCTCAAATATGTGAAGTAGGAGAACTGCATTCAGACGTTAAATCCTGGATTCTATAATGGGTGTTTTTACTCTGTCCAGCTAAAGACCAGTTGGCTTATTCTGAAAGGGGATATGGACACCAGAACTAATTCCCCGGATTCAGACACCCGGTCCCTGTCTCTTACTGCCGGAACCGACCGAGAAAACTTCCCGAGGGCACAGGAGGGCACAACTGCCAGCTACTCCCGTGAGTACTGCTACCTGTTTTCAAGACACAGGATGGTGGTATCAGCCTGCTGGTTGACTTGTGCTAATTACTTCTTGATACAATCTGTGTGTTTTGAATGCTAGTAGAGCCATTTCATCTGTATCATATAAAACATAAAGAACACTTTGCTCCATAGATTAATTTAGAGTAGGCATTTTTTATTATTTCTCACAATTATACCTCGAAGTTCACAGAAACCTTCCAGATATATAAGCCATTGAGTAGCCAGGTGGAATAATGGGATAATTTTGTTGCTAAATACTGGTCTGAAGACCGTGTGTCTATGTTTGCTGTCAATGCCAAAAGCACATTCTACATGTTTCTTACTTCGCATTTCAGCAAGTCAGGAGGTGAAGGAAATGATCATCAGAAGTGAGTCTGAATTTTACTTTTAGATTATATAAATAACAAAGAATAGGTTAAATGAATTTTAACAGATAACTGGGCCTTTCCTCTCCCTGCCTCCTCCTCTTTACACCATACAGCAGTAGCAGGTCATCCAGGGTAAACAAGTTGGGGAAGCAGTTTTCCAAAAGAATGCCTCCAATGCGAGGCATGTCTGGCAGCGGGGCTAGGATGTCAGTCTTGTGGGCATTTTGGTAATGTGATAGCTGGCTCCATCAACTTATATTAAGGAAATTATGGCTTAGCTATGCAAGGAAGAGGAAAAACAGATGCTACAAAGTCTGTCACAAGACTGTAACAAGATAAAGAATAAAAGTTATTTTGGACCATCAGTTTCACTGGTCTAACCTGAAAGGATTTGATTCCTTCATCCTCACTAGACATCACATACACATGCATGGGGTGTATTGTAGGATTCTCTGTGCAGAGGAAGCCAAATCTGGCCACCTCCCATGCCTAACATCTGTAAGTCATCACTCAGAAATGAACACCTAAACTTTTTGTTGTGTTGCAGACTTAAGATATGTTTGGAAGCTTTCTGGAGTTGATCTGATGCTTTTCTACATAGGTATTGAGAAAATAGTCCTTGTGTGCAAATTTTGAGTCAGGAGAACTATGTAGCACACCAAGAACTGTGTTATACAGGAACAATGTACTGTGTCAATTTTTTTCATGAGCATATTGCTACGCCCCTCACTTTTCTATACCAGCATTTCTTTTATGTTTGGTTTTTTTTTTAATTATTATCTTGGGAATGTGGAGCTATTAAAACTAGAAATGCAAAAGATGGTACACACCTCTGTCAGGGTCAAGACCACCTGTGTGCCAATGCAGTATAGGTCATGTAGTTCATTTTCTGTTGCTTTTTGTCAGCGTTTCTCTGTCCCTCGTGGAAGCTGGCAGTGTTACCCAATTAGAAGCCAAACAGAAATGGCACTGAGGAAGTTTTCTTTTCCTGACATTCACAATATTTTTTTTTCCTTTCTTTCTGATTTTATTCAGCTCCTTGACTGTTTTATTACCAATGGACATTCTAAGTAGATCCTTCTCTACTGAGTTTCCCTATTTAGTGTATTTGTAGTCTGTCACATGCCACATCAGCCCTGGAAGAGTAGCTTCTCTGCCTCTTGCACTCATGACTGAGAGCAGCCAGATCTTTAACTCAGACATTCAGTCCCATCTCTGTGGCATAGTCAGTGAGTATCAGTGAAAATAAACTTTTTGGGTAAAGATTTGGTACCAAGCGGTCACCTGTAGAGTGGAGGGGTTAGCCAGCATGAGACTGAACCTCTGGTGATGTGTCCAAACATACTCTGCAAACAGCCCTGCGTTCATCTGTCCTGCCTCTGTGCAAACCACAGAGGGTTATTCTGCTCAAGAAGATATTTAGCCACATTCTGTTAGCTATATGCCCAGAAGGATACATCTAACAGCAAAGCACATCAATATGAGGCTTGTGTAATTAGCAGGCATCCAGTGTGGACCTTGCATCTCCTACATCCACTTGTGTAAATGTATCTTGTTTCTGTTTGTGTATATGTTTAGTAGTTAATCATTTACCATAATTCATGATTTTATCTGTCACATATGTAGGAAAGCAGGAATCTAGCAAGGTGTGTAAACCTTGCTGTTCATGTGTCCCTGATTTGCTAAGAGGCAACCTCAGAATATCAGGTTAGAGTAAATGTCATACTGGAAAAAGCAGGAGCCGTATCCATGCAGAGAGTAGTTATTGTTCAGATAGTGCCTAATTAAAGAGAAAGATTGCTTTATCTTGACCAATTACTACAGAAAATTTACCATAACATCACGGCTGCCATTGGATGTGATACTGATCAGTATGTGGTTGTTGGCTTTTAATGTTTTATTTCTTCTTTATATTAAAAAAAAAAGCAGCAAAATAAAGTGTATTTAACTGTGTAACTAAGTTCACGGGAAAGAAGCTAAGTGAAATACAGTTCCCACTGGAGTCAGTGAGTCTTTTCTTGCTAGCTTGTTTTGGGCTGTTTTGGCTTTATGCACCTCTTGTTTTTTTTCCAGCCAGCCACACGATGTTGCTTGTGCCTGTGGATGTGGCTTGGTCCTGGCAGCCTGGGAGGCAGCTCCTCAACTGCTACATGCTAAAGAGAATTGTGTTTGTTTTCAAACCATGGTCTTTACCTTAGTGCGTTTTTCCTTAGTATCTGAGTAATACTGTTTGGTAATAGAACAAAACCATCCCACCTGCCTTCTCTGTAGCCAAGAGGCCAAGAAATTGAACTCTGCACTGATGTTCAACACCAGCGTCTTTTTCCAGGCAGGACTATAGATGACAATTTTGTTGCAGATCCATTCACTCTATCTCAAAGGTGCTATATACTCCTTATCCTCTGGCGTCATTATCATTCAGATAGCAAGCAATGATAAGTTCCCAATTTCTAAACTGGAATAGCGAAGTGATCCATCTAATTTAGTATTCACAGAATCACAGAATCACAGAATGTTAGGGATTGGAAGGGACCTCAAAGGATCATCTAGTCCAATCCCCCTGCCTGAGCAGGACCACCTAGATTAGAAGTATTAGTATTATAGTATTATAAGTATTAGTATTATAGTATTAGAAGTAGTATTATTAGTATTAGTATTCATCACTACGTCCCTATATCAGATGTGGAAAACCCCTGCAGGGTCAACAACAGAAGCTCTGCTCATAGTTTATACCATTCCTCAGATGGTGGTTGATTATGTTTCTAAAACATCTCTTGCTTTTATAGATAATTTCATTTTGCTAGCTTACATAAGTCAAGCTTATAAAGTCTTCTTTCCTTTGATGAGCTTTCATTGCCTCAGTTTTCCTGTAGGCCAGTGGTCTGGTGGAGTTAATTTAATCCACTTGAACACTGATGAACAAGAACAGCACAAAGGATTCCTCCAGGATCTCCCATGAATTATTACATTTTATCCCATTTCTATTACTCTAATGTTCAAGGTTATCCCAGTGCTTTATGATGTCCCAATCCTCCTCTATATTGGCAGTGCTTTATAACTTTGTTTCAACAGCAAAGTTTGTTAGCCCATTACTATTTTTGGTGTCCAGATGATTAGTGAAAATGTCAGGCAATCTCAAATCAGCACCAGTCTATACTGACACTTTTCTCTATCAGCACTGCTCAGTTCTCACTACTCATTTCTTACTTTTCATTGTTTCCTTACTGACCCTATAATTCCTCTGATAAACTCCATCTTCTCCAGATTTGCATTTAGTTTCATGTGTGGCAACATACCACACACTTCAATGATATCACCTTAGATGAGATAAAATAAAACTTATGTTGTGCAGAAGTCATTTCTCTTAACAAAGCAAGCCACCAAGCAAGTCTGGCACTGTGTCTTTAACTTATGTCAAACCAATTAAAATCTGTGTGACTATAATTAATTTTCTGTTTACTTCAATGTTTATGTTCAGTTGTACCTTAAGTTTTCTGTTGAAAGCAAACTGATAGCTCCTCATTATCTTTTTCCCTTCTTAAATATAAAAACTGTAGTTGCTGTTTTCCAGTGGTAAGAGGTATTGGACTTGCAATTCGATGTGAGCTTATTGCTCCCTGTTTTAAGTACATTAAGTGCTTTGAATTGTGTTTCCATCACGACTGTGATTCATTGGCGTACCCTTATTCCGTTAGCTTCCCCTCCTTGCTCAGTACTCTACCTTTTGTTCCTAAAAATGAAGGTAGAATACTCCTTCAGTGCTGGAGCCCTACCTAGGTTACCTTTCATTTCTGCTGTGTACTGACATAGCGTAACTCGCCGTGATCCTGTTTCTTCTTTCCTTGTTCTCTTTTTGTTTGGATAGCTGGAGAACCTTTTGCTATTTGTTTTAATATCATTTTCAGTGTTTAACTCAGCTTGACTTCTGGCATTTCTTACTTTATCTCAGCACATCGTGAGCTCTCTGCTGATCGTCTTTTGTTTTTTCTTTCTGTATGATTATTCCTAATCATCTCCTTAGGGTATTTATTAATCCGGTGGGGTCTGGATTCCTTTCCTGCATTCCCCTTTGGACACATATTGCTAACGTTTTTGAGAGAAAGAAGCGTTGTACATTCAGTTCTTTGAGCTGACTTTTCTAATTCTTTGCAATGATTTGTCAAAATTTCCTGTACTGGAATCAAGAATGGTTGTTACACATGTGTTTATTCGTCTTCTGTTTAATTTAAACTGATTCAGCTTGTCACTTCTGTACAGCATTATTTTTATTAACCAAAACCTAATCTGAAACACTTTTTGTCCTTTGACTGACAAAAGAAACTTCCAAACTTTCTTATTAGACTCTCAGTATTAAAAGTAAGGCTCGTCAGTTGTTTCATACTGACTGCATACAGTTTTGTCACCATATTACATCCAGTTTGTTCATGGTAACTCCACTTTGACAATTTTGCCTATCTTAAAACTTTCTTTCTCTTGAGTGTTTATACTCTCACTAATTTCTTTATCCATTGCCATATCTTCATTTATGCTTTTTTCATTGAAGCAGTAGAAGTTGCTGTAAAGAAAACAAAATTATTCTTTTTTTTTTTTTTTTTAAGTGGTAGGTTACCAACCCTTCTTTTTAAGAAACAAAACCAAAAGCAGGCCACATACATCATGATCAGAAGTGGTGTAACTCTAAAATGATGGTACCTTTAATCCCATTTTCAAGTCCTGATTTAACACCAAGTTGGGGGCAAAGATTTCACAAGCTCTCATATCTGCTTTGCATCACGTAGCTGAGTAAGGCTTCCATAACATGAGTGCTACAACTCTCTTCATGTCATGCCCAGTAAGGTGATTGCACCCTGGCATGCTTTTATAGACATTGTTAAACATGTTCATGTACATTAAATACAGAGAAAAGATAAGCATTGCTCAGTTAGATTTCATCCCATTAATAGAATGGACATACTGATCTTGTAATTGCTGTTTCTGGTTGTTTTCTTGAATTCTATGTTTTAGTAGACTGTAAAGAATTTAGAAAAAAATATAGCTGTATGTTATGTCTTTTACAGGATTTCCGTATTCTAAATCTGCTTCTCTACCTGGCTATGGAAAGAATGGCTTACATCAGGTAGGTGTATATTTAAATGTGTTCTCCAGGCAGTAGTGTATCATAAATGGGCACCTTAGTAACTAGTTGAAAATCTACACAGTAATAACACTTTAAAGGTGTTTTGGCTGCCAGCCCTGTCTGACAAATTCATACTCTATGTGGGTTACAGTTTGTCTGTCTGCAAGAGTAGGACAGACTGAGGCTTCTCCTTTTAAATATGTCTGTGATGAGTGTTAGGAATCTTGATTCTCCTCCCAAAACAAATGAAGGTCCAAAATATACAGGCTGCACATATTAATAGGTCACAGTATAGCTTGAATTAATGATAGAGAGAGTAGGCCTATAATTAGGCCAGTGATATTCTTAGAGCAAAGACACCCTGAGGAAAAGGACTTGGGAGTGCTTGTGGGTGAGAAGCTCAACATGAGCCGGCAATGTGCACTGGCAGCTCAGAAAGCAAACCGTGTCCTGGGCTGTATCAAAAGGAGTGTGGCCAGCAGGTCGAGGGAAGTGATTCTGCCCCACCTGGAATACTGTGTTCAGCTCTGGAGTCCCCAACACAAGAAGGACATGGAGCTACTGGAATGAGTCCAGAGGAGGGCCATGAAGATGATCAGAGGGCTGGAGCACCTCTGCTATGAAGACAGGCTGGGAGAGTTGGGGCTGTTTAGCCTGGAGAAGAGAAGGCTCTGGGGTGATCTTATAGCAGCTTTCCAGTACCTAAAGGGGGCCTACAGGAAAGCTGGAGAGGGACTTTTTACAAGGGTGTGTAGTGATAGGACAAGGGGAAATGGCTTTAAACTGAAAGAGGTCAGATTTAGGTTAGATATAAGAAAGAAATTTTTCCCTCTGAGAGTGGTGAGGCAGTGGAACAGGTTGCCCAGAGAAGTTGTGGATGCCCCATCCCTGGAGGTGTTTAAGGCCAGGTTGGATGAGGCTTTGGGCAACCTAGTGTAGCGGAGGGTTTCCCTGCCCATGGCAGGGGGGTTGGAACTAGATGATCTTTGATGTCCCTCCCAACCCAAACCATTCTATGATTCTATGACACAGCAGCCCACATGCATTGCATTTCTTGAATCATCAGTTCTCTTTTTTTCCAGTATGCGTGTATATATATATAGAGAGAGAGAGAGACAGATAGATAGATAGATAGACACTGAGACACCATACTTTTAAGGCAGAGAAGGAGCAATATAGAGAGAATGGCAGGCAGAAATCTAGAAAGCAAAATGCATAACCACATTTTGATCAGATCAAACTGGGGGTTCGTTTTCTAATCCTTTTTTATAATTTTTACAATTCCTCAGGAAAAAAGACACCTTTGACACTGTAGTCTCTCTTTGTCTCTGGCATCCAGCATTACTGGTTCTCAGTCTATGGCTCATATTTTTAGATACAAACCCAGTATGGTCAATAGTGATAACCTGGCAATACATAGATGCATGAGCACTTAGATTTTGAAGAATGATTTGTGTCTAAATTACATGGATAGGACCTCATTGAAATTCCCTCCTTTCTCCAAAGGAAGATGCGAAAGCTGCACAAGTACATGAGCAAGATTAAACTTCCCCAATGATAACAGTCAAACTGCAGGTCATTGGAAGGACCTACAAGAAGGCAACTGTCAGAGAGTAGCTAAACTGATTGTTTGGCAGCTACTGAAGTGTCCATCCCTTTGAGTCACTATTGCAAAGACTAATTGTGTCTGTGTCGCTTCAACACCTAACTGCTTGAATTCCTCTCTGAAGAAACCAGTGGCACTCAAATGACTGGTTGAGTCTCAAATGAGATTTAAGAATTTGAAAGGATCTAGATTAATCTGTCCCCACTTAGAAGTCAACAGCTTTTTTCTAACTTTTCAGAATAACTCTTACCAGTAATCTGAAGCGAGCAAAGGACCGACTAGCGGCCAGCCACCGTGCTGGTGAGGGACCAAAGCCATCAGAATGCTCAACGCCGATGAAGCCAAGGCAAACCCATCAGCTGTGGAGTTGGCCGCGCTTGCAGGCTGAAGCCATGCAATGTGATCTGACAGCAGCAGATGGCAGCATCTGCCCTGCCTAAAGGGTCCAACCTCACAGCCGAAAACTATTAGGAAGTTGAAAAGGTTGCTCATGGTCAAATCCTTGAGGCCAAAATTCTTCTCAGAATGGATGTCCTCTGTTTGGATTGCAAGTTCATACCAGCTTTTGTGGTTTGTTATTTTTAATCAGCCATCCCAGTGCTGCATAACAAAATAAACCAAAAAAAAAAAAAACAACCCAATAAGGAGCATTGCAGGTTATTGTGAGCATAGCTATGCACACTGTTGATACCCTAACAGGCAAAAATGAGACTCAGGAAAAAAAAAAAATCATATAACAGTGCTTCTCTGATCTCCTGTAATGTTTGACGTTATAGCATTTGCCAGCAAAGGAAAAAGGTAGTGGGTTAAACAAAGCTATGGCGCATACGCACAGTTCTGCCTGGTCTTAGCAGCATCAGCAATGCGAAGCAGAGAATCAGAATGTCAGGATGAGACAAGTTTCAGTACAGTGTAAGGGATTTGTGGCGATGGCAGTAAGACATCTGCATCACAGGGAAAGGCTTGTGACAACTTCAATCTACCCTTGCTTCGAGGTCTTCAAATGGGAGTGACTGGTGGCTTTCTGACACCTTTCTGCCTCATTGAAAGCTATGAGGAATCAGAGCTTGAAAAGATCCCAGTGGTCTAGGGGTGAGGTGGGTTGGTATGACACTGCCTCTCTGAGTGACATCCAAGCTGCAGCTTTTACTGGTCTGTGGAGTTCACAGCATAGGCAGCAAACTGCACCTGCAGTGCCTCCAAGGACCCAGGCATTCCCTTGACACTCCATCCTTGCCTCCAGGCAGGGCTCCATCTCTGCAGTCATAGATCGATGCGTGTTGCAAGCACTCAAGACTCCTGCCTTGAGCAATTGGGTCAAGTCTGAGTGAGACTTTATTTTCTTTCTTTCTTGCAAGGATCTATACTATGATTCTGTGATACCAAATGGTTTTCTTTTTTCTCTCAACAATATGCAGAGTGATTTTGCGGTGTGTTTTGCTGCTACATGGCTTTTTTTCTTTCTCTTTCAGCCTGAAAATATGGGCCAATATGACACGGACCAGGAGGCGAGCTGGGGGATGAAAGGTACTTCGCAATATCATTTCCACTCCAATTCATATTTTCTCCCTTTGAGGATGCTCATTCACGTTTTGCCCTAAGGGGTTACTATTCTGAGATCTTCTCATAGTTCGCGTAATAATGACTAGACAGAAACCCAGCTCAGTATCACGTTTATCACAGAGATTTTTTTTTTTATCTGACCAAACATAAAGGTCTGACTGAAGTCCTGCATCGTAAAGTGATGCAACCATGTTGAGTCAATCCTGGTATCCTCAACATGTGGCGACAGTCTCTGGTGCTCTTTGCTTATCAGATGGTGGTCTCATATCGAAGAGAGGAAGAAATTTAAGATAATCAGTCCTTCAAGACGTATCTAGTAAAAAAATCCATTGTGTTTCTTGTTTGTGTTACAGTGTGGTTAAAATGTGCAGAATTCAAAAAGCAGAATTTATTTGCATTCATTTTTTTTTTGTTACAGTTCAAGTGGACTGTGAACTTAATATGAAACTTGAGTTGGAATTTTCCAAAGAACTGAGCAATTTAGCAACATGCATCTACTCACAGGGAAGAGTAGGATTTTTCCAAGACACTTAATCTCATTTTAAATATCTTACACTACCGCTTCACTTCATGCCTCTATGTTGATATAAGTCTTTGCCTCTATGTTTGAATAGTTTAAAATACAGATTTTGAAAAGTAGACTTATCTCTGATTTCATTTCAGACCATAAAAAGTTTTATGAAAACATATTGGCTGTCCTGGTTGCATTTAGTTATTGTTGTGAATAGATGACATTGTGGTAGTCATATCATATACAGTCATATATTGACCTAACTAGGATACCCTTGTGCTAGTTTAGGTGCAGGAGTCATTGTCCCATATCCTCAAATAATCTTTTTTTCACTATTGTTATTCCCACTCCAGTCAGCCCAAGTGCAAGATGTTGGTATCTTGGAATATTGTATTAACTCAATGATTTTCATATATGTTCCCAAACCGACATGCTTGTAATAATCCATATATTTTAACTATTTTCAGTAAAGAACAGTAAGAGCAGGACTTTTGGATGACAGACTGACCTAACTCTGCACAAAAGCCGCCTGTAAAAAGAAATTCTCAATTTTGCTGGACTTACTGTGTAACCCAATAGCATCAGGAGATGGATTTTCTGTAATAAGCCTTTGATTTCCAGGACTATTGCTTTGATAATAGACAGTGTTCTAGGCATTCGGAGCATGGGGGTCAAACGCTTACTATGCATGCAGTGATCCAACAACTATTGAGAAGAGAAATGTAGTAGCATAACAAGTTGCTGATGTAGCTAAATGTTCATTGCGGTGACTCCAAAAGAAGCCTATAAATTCTAAACTGTGAACCTGTTCTCGTTCTCTTGCAGAATACAAGGTAAGAAGGGCTTTTCCAACACTGGAAGAACAATCAGATTCAGCACTTCCTAGCAAGGTTACATGTGTTCCTTTTTTATTTTATTTTGTTAATTTTTGCCCCAGTGAAATATTTTTCAAATCAGGATGCAAGTATGTACCATTTAATTTAGTAAGTTCCCCACACTGTCGATTCCACACATTAGAATCAGATTTGGCTGGAGTTCATACGCTCTTGTCTTTTTAACAGATTTATCCTTATGAAACACTTATTGTAACAAACCGCGTTCGTGTGAAATTGCCTAAGGATGTGGACAGGACCAGACTGGAGGTAGGAATGATGTTTGCTTGGTGGCTTTGCAAGTCTTTGTCCTGTTTGTTTACCATCTTACATATTCCTGTGCCCAAGTAATAGCAATGAAGGAAGAGAGAAGAGAGAAATAACAGTACATATTATATTTTATTTCAAAACACTAATATGTAGGCAATTTAACTAAAAAAAATAGCCAAAACCCTGCCAAATTTACAAAGATACTGATGAAACTTATTAGTTTTGGATGATTATACAGGGTATTGAAAGTTGGAATGGGGTGGGTGGAAACTTTTTTTTTTAATTACTGTAGAAAAACCCTCCTAGAATAACCTGTATTAGAAAAGAGCTTGATTTACTCCACAAATATATGTACCTATGTTTCTGCTCCATTATCTTGCTCAGCCTTCCCTTTGGCTGTGTGATCCATGATCACTGTGCTATAGATTTGCTGTAGCATTCATCTCTGTCAAAGAGTAGTAGTATAAACTGGAAAAATGCAGATATAATAGTAGTATAAGCTGGGAAAATGCAGATATAATTTATCATAAAGGAAAGCTTAGTTTCCAAAGTCCAAATCCTGAAGTTGATGTTCAGGCAAAATTAATGAGGTTGATTTTTTTGACTGAGTAATGACAGGACTGAATAAAGCCTCACCTAAATTATTAAGCTAACATGTCTGTGTGTGAATTACTATTAAGAAGAAGAGATATTTCAGTAAAAATTATGTGGATAACAATATTGGACCTTGGGGAAGATTTATAGTTAAATAAATGTATTATATTTTTAATTTGATAACGTGACAAGAAGAAAGAAACTAATTTTAAGGTAAAAAAAAAAAGAAGAAAAACTATGAAATAGCAGAAAGTTCCTCATTAAAGGTCAAGGGTTTTTTAAAAATTCATTTACCAAATTCTTATACATGTAGTATATTTTGGAAATTATGTATGTCCTTAAATACTTCAATGTGCTTGTCGCTTGATTACCCCGCAAGTGGTATTGATTTGTTTGTAAGGAAAAAAGAGCCTCAAACGTATGCTGTTTTAAGCCTGGGGTATAGCAAAGCATGATAACAATAATAAAAAGCATAATGAGTCCAGAAAAAGGAGCAGGGAGTTGGAGGGATACTCATCTGCACACATCCTATAAAAGATTCTTTTATATATATACGTATATACATGTGTATATTAAAGAATAGAGTCTTTATTTAAACACATCAGGGTGATCTGCATAGCAAATACAGCTCCAAATTGCTTTTTTAAGACAACATATAGTTTGCTTTGGATGGTTCAAGCCCATCCTGGCTGCCATTACCCATAACCTATAGCCTGTCCTCAGCCGAGATCGCTGTTTGTTTAACACTGGAGTTGCTCCATCTGCCTCGCACCAGGTGCAGCCCAGTGCCTGATGGCTCAGAGATCCCGACCGCTTCAAAGATCTCACAGAGGTTTGCAAAAAGAACGATAAACAAGATCTGCTTCAAACCTGCACTAGGCAAGCGATAAGGGCACCAGGCTGATCCTGCCGATTGCTGCGCTATTTGTGTGTTAAATATGTGCATCTGCAGGAAGGACCCCTTTGGAGACCAACTGATGTTTATATAGGGATTGGTAGATTTTTAAACAATCAAATAAGCAGCGTTTTAATAGGACTATAACTACTGGAAGAACAGAGGCAGCAGCTCATCTACGCATTCAAACCATAGGCAGAGTTGAGTGACAGGCACAAACCGTTGCCTTCCCTGCTGGCCTCTTCCCCACCTCCCCATCCCTTCCTTCTGCCTTGCAGAATTGCTGGAAATAAGTAGCTTTGCATAGGAAAGCATTTGTTGTTATTTCCTCTTGTGGCAGAAGATGATCGTAACTCAGTTGCTGAGTTTTGCGTTCAGCAGATGTCAGGCTTGGGCAAGACCCAGGACTCGAGGAGTCCGAGACTGCCTGGGTTTATAGGTTTGCACGGAACACAACAGGATTGGACACGTGCACCCCCCCAACCTGTTTGTAGGGGATCTACTTAACGTATTCTGGTATCTTCAGGCATTTGAGGGGCAACACTGGGAATACTGGAAGCCGATATTAAGGTTAGATTTCACCTTTTCTTCAGCTCCATTTCACATTTGCTACAGGGTCTGGTTCGATGCTTACAGATCTCTAGGAGGCAGGTGCTCTCTCTGAGCAGAATGGGTTGCCAGCTGGTCTTCTGTTTTCATCCTGCACAGCCAATGTCACTCATGACAGGCTGGATTCTTCCTACAGAAATGGTGAAGGTGATAGCAATGCTAAGCCCAGGTATTACCCAAACTGTAGAGTGATTTATTTAGGAAAATCTTTTAAGACAAAATCCGTGTTCTAATATTCTGGGTTTGTTATGATCGGTTTTGTGGGCTGAAGCCTCACCTTGCTCTCGCTGCTGCAAATCAGAACAAGCTCTTGGGTGTGATGGCTGTGGACAGGGTGCAGATGGTGTCAGTGGATGGACACCTAGAACCGTTGTGTTTTATATCAGCCATCAAACCTGAAAGCAGTCTGACTGTGTCCAGTATGGTTACAATATCTCACACATTATGTTTCTGATTTTGTAGTCTGCTTAGGAGCAATAAGTTGAATAAATCTACATGAGCTAGCTTTATTTAACAACCCTCTTGCAAGTTGACTTGAAGCAGGCTCCTGTTTGTGAAACAGTTTGTTATGAACTTTGAATGATCCAGCATAGACGTCATGGAAGAGGCACTGTTGTTTGTCTCTGATTCCCTGTTACAAAGGGAAGTCTCCTATATTGAATGCTCCTGTCATGAAAAGTGACCTCAAGAAAATGGCATTAGCTCCTTGGATCAAATTAAGGGAGGCTGTAATGAAGGCCTCAGCTAATGGTCAAGGACCGCAGGAGGGTGGGGTTTTAATGGGTGGTAGTGTTTTCTTTACTTTGCTCCCACTGTCAGTATTTTTTAGATTACGCCGTTATGTAAGAAATGCAAGGATTATAAAAAATATTTTCTTGTAAAAATGCATATTTTTCTAAGCCCAAGAGGTATCTAGAGATCAGGAAGGCTCAACTGGTAATAAATGCATTCAAATAACAGGAATTCTTTCTTCAAAAGCACATATATTGGAGCATAGAAACACTGGGCATGTTTTTGTTTGCTTATTCTAACTCAGCAGTGAGGCAGAAGTAGCCCAGTTCCTTGTGCTCCTCGAGGAGATGTTTATGCCAACGGTGAACTAATACATGTTGCATTGAGAACTAGTTGCAATAAATAACCTGCTGATTTTTACATATGTTACTGGCACTCTGACTTTTGAATGAATAGCCTGGGTCTTCATTTAGTATAAGCTGTTTAGAAATGTGAGGAATTTACACTAGATAAGGATTTGGCCCAGGAATGTTTTTAGAAGTGTCTCTCTACCATAGTGCTGTTTGTTCTAACATTAGCTGAACAGAGAAGCATTCCTGTGAGCTGTTCTAAAGGGAAATCATAGAATCATAGAATGGTTAGGGTTGGAAGAGACCTCAAAGATCATCTAGTTCCAACCCCCTGCCATGGGCAGGGAAACCCTCCACTACACCAGGTTGCCCAAAGCCTCATCCAACCTGGCCTTAAACACCTCCAGGGATGGGGCATCCACAACTTCTCTGGGCAACCTGTTCCAGTGCCTTACCACCCTCAGAGTGAAAAATTTCTTCCTTATATCTAATCTAAATCTACCTTCTTTCCATTTAAATCCATTGCCCCTTGTCCTATCACTACATGCCCTTGTAAAAAGTCCCTCTCCAGCTTTGCTGTAGGCCTCTTTTAGTTACTGGAAGGCTGCTAGAAGGTCTCCCAGAGCCTTCTCTTCTCCAGGCTGAACAGCCCCAACTCTCTCAGCCTATTTTCATAGCAGAGGTGCTCCAGCCCTCGGATCGTCTTCATGGCCCTCCTCTGGACTTGCTTCAGCAGCTCCTTGTCCTTCTTATGTTGGGGACTCCAGAGCTGAATGCAGTATTCCAGGTGGGGTGAAGAACAATTTAATTCTGGTGATGTTGCAGAGAAATAAAGCAGTAGAACAGGATTGGATTACACAATTTGGATGAAGAGGAATCGCACCCTCACCACATCTGCAGATGTCACAAACTGGGCAGTTGATGCTCTGGTGAGCAGAGCCTATGTACAGAGGGACCTTGCCAGGCTAGAGGAATGGCTCGACAGGGACTTCATGAAGTTCAGTGAAGGTAAATCCAGATTCCTGCACTTGTGACAGAATAATGCCTTTCATCAGCACAGGACAGGGAGAACAGCTCTGCAGAAAAGTACCTGATGGTCCTGATGGAAAACAAACTGAACATGAATCAGCAGCTCACCTTTGCAGCAAAGGGGTTATAGAGGAAAACATACCTTTCTCAGAAGTAGGCACTGGAAGGCCAAGAGGCAACAGTCACAAGATGCAGGAAGGGAAATTACAATTAGATATAAGGGAAAAGTTCCTCACTAGGAGAGTGGTGCACGGGAACAGGTTGCCTGAGAGGCTATGGAGTCTCCATCCCTGGAGGCATGCAAAACTCAGCAAGAGAAGGTCTTGAAGTACTTGGTCTAATTTTGAAGTTGGCCCTGCTTTGAAGACCTCCATAAGTTCCTAATTTGCTTAGGTTGGTATATTCTGTGAAGGCAAAGCCTTAATATAATTACAAAATAGGATTAATCGGTTCTCTTGCTACATTAGCATTTGAAAAAAAATACATAATTTGGTGTATATTGGAACATTTTTTCTAAAGGTTCATTTTAGTATGCAAGGGCTTAAATGTAAGTGTCCTGAAGCAAACTTCCCTATTTTGGACAACTTAAGTCATGAGTTTCCAGAGCTAAGACATGAGATTTGGGTGGTACGCATTAGCACATTCCTTACCTGCTGGTTTCCCAGTGGTGTTCCACACGGTCTGGGTTTTTTTTTCCAAAGCAAGTTGGGCTTATGGACACTTTTGAAAATCTTGATACCTATTTTAAGTACTTGAATACCTTTTATGATCTAGGCCTTGGGCTCCTAAAA